ATGGCATCCCCCACAATATTGTGTCTGATAGGGGCTCTCAGTTTGTGTCCAGGTTCTGGAGGGCGTTCAGTAAACAATTGGGGATTGATCTCTCCTTCTCCTCCTCCTACCATCCACAGACCAATGGTACAGCTGAGAGGGCTAACCAGTCATTAGAAGTTTATTTGCGTTGTTTTATTAATAGCACACAAGACAATTGGTCCGAACTACTCCCGTGGGCCGAGTTCGCTAGAAACAATGCTGTTCATGACTCCTCTGGGCACAGTCCATTTTTTGTCAATAATGGTAGGCATCCTACGGTTCTCCCTGCGGTATTTTCTGATACTGCCATTCCTGCTCTGGATGAGCGTCTGGCCTCCATTCGGGATACCTGGGTTAAGGTTCAAACTGCTCTAGGGGCTGCTGCTGAACGCTTCAAACATTTTGCTGATAAGCGTAGGAGTGCCAACCCGGTGTACCAAGTGGGGGACCGGGTTTGGTTGTCATCTCGCAACATAAAGATTAAGGTCCCTAGCATGAAGTTTGCCCCCAGATTCCTTGGTCCCTATAGAGTGCTTCGTAGGATCAATCCAGTGTCTTACTCTCTGGCTCTTCCTGCATCTTTAGGGATTCCCAACACTTTTCATGTGTCCTTACTCAAACCTCTTGTCTGCAATAGATATACTGTTCCTTGTGTTCCTCCCCCTCCGGTGGTGGTGGGTGGTCAGGAAGAGTATGAGGTATCTTCTATCGTGGATTCTAGGTTTTCTCGGGGCACTTTACAGTACTTGGTTGTTTGGAAAGGTTACGGTCCTGCTGATCGTTCTTGGGTTTCGGCTCCTGACCTGCATGCGGGCCGTAAGATCCGCGCTTTTCACGCTAAATTTCCTCTCAAGCCTGGTCCTGTCCGCCCGGTGGGCGTTCTTCAGGTGGGGGGTAATGTCACATATTCATCCGCTTATAGAAATGTGGTTAATGACATTTACTGTCCACACAGGAAAAGTTGTGCCGAGCAGCAACCTAATCCACAGAAGGGTTAATGCTGAGCAGCAATTATGCAAATGAAACCTGGTAACTGACTTTGGGGTCAAAGGCCGGTTACAGCCTATCAGAACTAAAGGAGGGGTATTTAGGCCCAGTTCTCAGCCTGCTCAGTGCCCTGTCGTGGTTTCCCTTGTGGTTGTCTGAGAGCGCGTTCCTGTTTATAGTTTTCTACCTGGTTTTTGACTTTGGCTTTGTTTATTGACTTCTCTATATTCTGGTATCCTGACTCCTGGCTTTCCTCATCGCTGTGTCCCTTTCTGTGTTCCCTGACCTCGGCTAGTATTTTTGACTATTCTTTGTACGTTAAATCCGGCCATTCTAAGGACCGGTAATACGTTACTTATTTGTCATCCGTGCTGTGCAGTTCTACGTGCTGGATCAAACAGTAATCCTGACATAGTGAACCCTTCAACTCAACCCACCGTGTACGAAGGTGGTACTCTGGCAAAGGACTCTGGCAAAGGACCGGGTAAGACTGAACCCCCCTGACCTGGCTAAGACTGCCTGGACTGACCCTTGTGTCCTTAGATAGGAGACCCTAGTGGACTCTAGTTTAGCTAGGATTAGGGGTGTCCATGGAAACATGTGAAAATGTATGCAGGCAATTGTCCTGGGAGGGAGGGCAGATTGAGCTCGAGTGCCAGTCTGGGAGGGAGGGCAGATTGAGCTCGAGTTATCTTTAATACCATATGAGAGTGTGCAAAGACAAAGCCACTGGAAGGGAGGGCTGAATGTGCATATCAGTATGTGCCAGAACCAAGAGTGTCTGTGGTACCCTGTGAGAGTGTGTAGAGACAAAGACACTGGGAGTGAGGACAGAGCGAATGTGCATATCTGTCTGTGCCAGAATCAGAAGTGTCAGTGGTACCCTGTGAGAATGAGTCAAGAAAAAGTTGCTGGGAGGGAGGGCAGGATGAGCATGCATACTGGTCTGTGCCAGAACCAGAAGTGTCTGCAGTACCATGTGGGAGTGGGCAAAAACAGCTACACTGGGAGGTAGGGCTGGATGAGTTTATGTGTCCACCTGTGTCTAAGCCAGGAGTATGTGAGGTGCCCAAACCAGGAAAGTTTGAGGGGCTATGTGAGATTGTGTTAGGATGGCCTGGCTTCGAGAGGGAATTATGTAAGTGTGAGTGAGCATTATTCTGCATCAGAATCACCAGTTCCCAAGATTCTGTACGTGTGAGGACAGGGAGTGAAAATGAGAGAGAGAGAAAAAGTCCCCTAACAGTCCCTCTAGTGGCTGTACATGTGAGGATAGGGAGTGAAAGTCAGGGAGAGAAAAAGTCACCTAACGACCGGGAGTCTCTCTAGTGGCTGTCTGGTACACAGCCTCTAGAGGTGGAGTTAATCCTCAAAGGTAATTATTGCAGTTTATCAAAAATTAGCAATGAGCTGAAGTGGTCTGGATGCCTATAATGGCACTTCTTTCCTTTATTCATAAATACTCCCTGATCTTTGGCTACCAGCTAAACACGTCAAAATAGGATCTACTTCCCCTCAAATTTAGTGGAGAACTCTTAGCCAGCCTGAAATGCAAATTCCCATTTCATGTTTTGCCATCTGCAATCACGTACTTGGGCATCTAACTCACCAATGATACCTCCACTCTCTATGACGCCCAGTTTGTCCAGCTTTTGTGCAAAGCACACTCAGATTTAAAAACATGGGGTTCCATGAGCATTTCCTAAATAGAACGCAACCTAGGCCCCCCAGCAGACCCCAGGGACTGGTCGGACATCTGGTCATCCATAAACTTGATTTCCATCTGTGTCACACAGCAGGAACAAGTGTTTAAAAAGCTTTCCCAATTGTATCTAACTCCACAACGCCTAGCCCCCATGAAGCGCATACCCAAGACCATTTCCCATGGACCCATGGGCACTACTACTGTTGAAACCCACTGATCCCTTTACACTTAATGAAAAGAAGTGTGCCACTAGAATTTAGTGACTTAATTGCTGTGACTTAATTTGCAGAATGAATTCATTGGCCAGTGTTCAGGTGCGTGTAAATTAACATGGGTATATATTACATTGTAGGGATAGCCTCGGTTGCAATACCCCTGAGGACGGCGTGTAGTCACGCCGAAACGCGTGTTGGGTTCATTTAGTTTTCGTCTATTTAGCACTTACGAGCACTTTGCACAATGTTACTTTGATTCTTTTTGGGCTATAGATGTCTAGGTCTAGATGCTAGATTAGAACACCCATGAAGGTGTTATTTAGGAGATAGAGGGTTAGCTTAGAGAGATGGTTATACTGTGGGACTTCTTTGGTTTGGGAAAGGGTCTTTGTTTTTGGGTCTAGTATTTTCATTTGTACCCCCTACGATAATTGGGGCTTTTTTACCCCCCTTTTTTGGGTTACTATATACTATATACCCATTCAATTTCCCCTCTTCCCCTCTTCCCCTCTCCTTTACTCAGGCTCTCTCTGCTGTTATTCCCTGAGGTATACATAGTTTAGTTCACTGTCCCTTTGGCTCCTTATTAAGCCTATTATTGGCTTCTTAACATGTTATACCTCTCTCCATATCAGATCCTAGACATCATTGTTTAGCCCTAGGTTTTACTATATTCTAATAAAGTTTTATTATTTTTTGGTACTCTTTAAACTTACTTTTGAGATTGGACTGGGTTCCTTTCCTATTGGCTACCTTCTAGTAAGGCAGCTTTTTGGATATTATAGTTTCTTTAATCTATTATCTTTTGGGTTACCCCCTATTATCCAGTCTAGGTGACCTTATTTACTCAAGGGAGGGGAGGGGGGCAGGTCCTTTCTGTCCTACCTTCCGGTCTCTTGTGTTTTCTATATATATTTTGGCCACTAGAATTTAGCTTAGCTGCAGACAGAGCAATAACAGAGGTCTGGTCTACCAACAGAATCCCCTCCCCCAGACTATCAATAGAAAAATCTTAGAAAGCATAGACATTGATGGACTCATGGCCCTAACCCATGACTCCCCAAAATTGTTTCAAAACATTTGGGACCCTTGGTTGGATGGAGACAACTCACTTCCCTGGGTAATCATTCCTTGGTAATCCTTGGTAATTCCTTGGGGTTTCAGTCCCAATCTCTCCACTCTTTTATAATCAACATAACTCCAACTGAAATATAGACACCTCTTCTCCCCTTCCTTTTTTTTTTCTTCTTCTTCTCTTCTTCCCCACCCCTTTGGGGTTGGGGCACAGACTGCGGGCCCTTATAATCTACCCATCTCCTCCTTTTTTTCTCTCTTGGTTTTAAGTTTCTTGTTAACTTGTAACCATTGTCAACTAATATCTTCTAATAAGTAGCACAATATAGACTCATTCCACATGTTGATCCACCTTTATCTCCCTTTCCACTAATAACACAAGCATAGAACAATGGATCTGTCCCATTACAGACTCTTTTTGCTTATTTTTATTTGATAGTGTCTAACGCCCGTGCAAGGCTAAGTGCCTCTAAAGGAGCCTTGACTAATGGACAATATCCCATCCCTATAGTAGGGATGCCAATGTTATCAAGACCTTGTCTTTCACTACCTTGAATCACTTACTGTACAACAAGCCCCTATTCTGTTTATGTACCATGGTTCTCATTCATTCTGCACTATAGTAAATGTTAATATAAAATTTTCATAAATATAAAAATAAAGAATTAAAAAAAAACACAACACAGAAATACAAGAAGAAGGAGCTATTCATTCGAGTCACAAATTAATTAAAAAGAAAGTAGCTCTGTATCTGATTTACGGTTAGCATGCTATTTTAATTTTAGTGTTTTGGCTGGCACTAATTGAAAGATGCATTTCCGTAGGACACTTAATATGATTCCTTACCAAGAATAATGTAGGAAGTGAAGAAAGAGATTCAAACACTGTGTAAGTATATATAGTAATGAAAGGAAAGAAAAACAAAGGAAGAACGATCACATAGTTGAGTAAGAGTTAAAGGACATGAAGTCCAAGCCAAGAATTACACAGGAGCCGACTTTAATCCAACCATTTTAATGTATTTACACAGACTTGAGCAAAGGGATCTGAAAGCTAATTACTTTGTAACTGAGGCACTTACACACACAACCACAAACAAAGCACTTGTCAAAACAGAGACATCATTCATACCACTTTAATATAGAGAATAAATCAAAACGTACACACAAGCACATCAATAGCCTCTCATGTTCTTATTATTAGGGATATGTCACTGTCACATGCATCGCCTCTCAAACATATTTTATGATACGTTTCCCCCTCCAAGAATATTGGCAGACATACATTAGTTGCCGTCATGTTTTTATATAATGATATCCATGAGATCTGATATAAAAGCACATATACATCCCTTTTTCTAATTTATTTCTGGATATCTCCAGTGTAGTAGCATGCACACTCAGGGATATATCTTTACATTCTAATATTCTGAACATTCTTCAGCGTGGGAAAAAAAAAACTAAGAAATCTTCTCAAAGGTTATGAACACTTAATTTGGAAGATTTGTGGACCTGATTACACGAAGAAAACAAATTCATAGGATTATTTTGTATGCGGAAAATGTAGACCAGGGTTCATGTTCATATGGAAAACAAAACATAGGTACTGTTTGTCTATGAAAGTCAAAGATCTAGGATGCTTTTTGATGTAAAAAAAAAAGCTTATTTTAATTACAATTTTAATGTGGAGAGCAAATGCGGGAAGGCTTCACTATGAATGAGTTTAGGAGGCTTTATGAATATAAAAACATAGTGCAGGAACTGGTACCAAAACAGTAATGGTGTACCCCTAAATTGTCTTTCACCTATTGAGAAGAGAGTGAACCACAGAATGGGCCCCCCTTTCAAAACTCTACTTAGCAGTTATCATAATAACTGGGTGCACGGCCATATGATGCCACACTCATGGTGACATGCCATTAGAGTGCATAAAAATTGAGACTGTGCCAGTGGTAACAAAATCTGTCCGATTTCTGAAATGGATTGACTTCTGTTCCTTTTTATTTATGTTCCTTTAAAACAATTTCCTTCTCTGATTTTATTATTTATCACTAGTGGTCTCCCTTGCCTCTAGTTCTGGAATCTCACCTGCTCATGTTTAATTACTTGCTTCAGCTACAAAAGGCTACACCCAACTAACCTCAAGGCCTTTACATTGAAGTTGGTGATTTGCCTGAAAGACTTCAGTTCCTGGCTCCTGTGAACCTGCTCCAGACTTACCCTCAACCCTGCTCCATACCAACCTGCTCCAGACTTGTCTTCAACCCTGCTCCATACCAACCTGCTCCAGGCTTACCTTCAAACCTGCTCTACTCTTACATATGATTTTACCTCTGCCTCTGTTACCAGCCATCCTGTGTTACAAGCCTTCCACTATTATCAGCCTCCACTGTTACCAGCCTGCCTTTGTTTCAACCCTACCTGGAGATCACAGACTTTCTTTATTATTTGCAAGTATCCTGTTTTGTGGCATATTGCCTTAGTTTTTCTCGAGTTTCATAATATGTCTAATAGCACCAATAAGGTCTACAACCCTGGCATAAGTCTCCTATCTGACCTGCACAAGATCATGACAGCCTTCTAGACCTTATCAACAAAATAATTAAACAGTATGGTGGTGCAGGAGAGAAAGGAAAAGTATTGGGAGTCAAGGAATTCGGAAAACATTCCAGCAGAACGTTCTGCGGTGGGGGATATAGATGGATATTCAGGTAAATATATGGGGGATACCTGGTTAAAATGAAGAGTATGGATGTGATAGCATTTCTGTATACTCTCATTGGACTTGTACTAAGGCAATACTACACTAATTTGTGCTAGAGCTAGAAGACTCTCAAGTCCTAGGATGAAGGGAAATGATGAAAAAGGAGTCACTGCAGAAATTATAGGAAAGAAAAACAAATAGCCTGGTGGTGGAAATATAAAGGAAATAACTTTGGGAATAAAAGGTAAAGACGTGGCTGTGAGTACGGGTAATATAAATTCTAGGTTAAAATTCTTCATCAAAACAGTGGTTATAGAGGGGGAATCCCACAATGTTTGCCAAACAACTTGAAATGGTAATATGGATCACACTTTTATAGTCATTGAATCATAACCACTATAAGTTGAATAGAAGACATCTAAAGGTAATCTAACGCTCTATGGTAGTTGGGATCCTAGGGAACTAAGTTAAGATGGTGGGACAGGACTCCAAAATAAACTAAATAAAATAACTAAATCAGGACAGTTGGGATTTATGGAGAATGGACGCACACCTATAGTAACACACAAACATGAGTGATCCCAAGCACTTACCAACTCAACATGATTCTAAGATTTTAAGTTACAAACACCGGAGGTATGTAAATAACAGCTCATTTATCCCAGTCACACGAAAACACATGCATAAATCAAACTAATACACACGCATCAATTATTACAATTACATTCTTCATAGTTCCTCAATATTCCCTTACTAAATACATCCCAGTATCCTCCCAAGAGCTCAAGTAAAGAATAGATCATTGCTTTTTGCAAAGTAGGCAATCAATGATGGAGTTTTTATTTCTCATGCCCGTCTGACATTTCTTGGAGTCCAGTGTTTGTCTTCGGCGACTGTAAAGGCACAATTTCCTTCTGTTTTTTTTGTGTTTTTTTGCTGTATAAAGACAAAGATAAAGAATATACCATCATATATATGCAATACAACTGAATAGGGGCACTTACAATTATGAATATGGGCACATCGTTAGTTTATTTATTTAATTTTTCAACTCTATATTTTCATTTTTTTCCTAATCATTTACTTACTGTCATTTAAATTATTGTTTAAAGTGTTGTTTTCCATTGAAAAAACATCAGTAGTCTTCTTGTTCTATGCTTATTGTATGCAGATCATGTACTTGACCCAAACCAGAGCAAGGTGACTATCCACCAATCAGTGGTGAACCAACAGGGGGTCTACATCTGCTAAACTCATCAATCCAAATGTGTAAAATAAGATTGTAGAGATAGCCACCATGCCACCAATGGTATATAGCTCTCTTTTTTTGCTGTCCTCAGTCACATTAACCAAAAGCATGATACGATTTGACATTTCAGCATTTTATGTCACAACGTCTAAGAAGCATACAAATTTGTCAAATTGACCCTTATCGCTTAATTCCAACAGTTTGTAGATTTCACTGGAAATTAAGACGGTTAAAAACAAATTAAGACCCTCCATTTGTCCCCTTCATATATAAAAAATTAATAAATATATACTCAATATAACATTTATAGAGAACCATAGCTGGCCCTTTAAACAGTAAATAAAAGTCCTCCTGCAACCAAAATGAATTTTAAAATCATATTAATGGCCTCTAATATAAAAAATTGATCATCATGAAATTTTAATTTTTTTTTATTTTATTTAAACGTTTCACACTTCTGATGTACAATTGTGTTGCATAAACTAGTGACATTGCAAGTAACAAATACATAATCATTAGAATATTTAACATGTAGAATAAAACTTAACTTTTAATACTGTCGAATATAACAATCCTAATTCCTAAACACCCACAAAGAAAAGAAGATAAAAACGATATACATATTAAAAGAAATAAGTCCTAAGTAGTGGTCAATAGTGAACTATCTACTAAATAGTGACTTGATCACCAGTGGTGTATTCTGGTTTTGTGCTGCCCTAGGCATGACAAAACTCAGGCAACCCCCCACCACCCCCTGGCTCGCCTTCTAAATACGCACACATTCACTGACAGATATACACACTCACAAATAGACAAGATACACATTCACTAACAGACACATTCACTAACAGACACATACAGTCACTAACAGACACACGCTCACTAACATAGAGGCATACTAATACACACACTAACAGACACACATAGTAACACACTCACAGACACACACACTCACTAACAGACACACACTCACTAACAGACACACATACACTCTCACTAACAGACACACACTAACACACTCTCTAACAGACACACACTAACACATTCTCTAACAGACACACACAAACACACTCACTAACAGACACAGACACACACATAGTAACACACTCACTAACAGACACACACACTAACAGACACACACAGTAACACTCCCTAACAGACACACACACTAACAGACACACACAAACAGACACACACACACTCACATTTTTTTTTATTCAATCCCCCCAGCCTCCCTACCTTTGAGAGTGATGGGGTGGATTCTCATTTTCCTTGGGGTCCAGTTGGGCTTCCGGGCAGCCGGCCGGTCACTGCAGTCAGCGAGGGAGCATTGATCCTCCTATTCAGCTCCCTCGCGCGCAGTGTAGTGATGCCGGGGCCGGAGTGACGTCGCAGCCGGCGAGGGAGCTGAACTGGAGTATCAGTGCTCCCTCGCCGCCCGCCCGGTAAGTACCGCCACTGCAAGCCAGGCCAGCTCCTGGGCTTTTTTGCCACCCCCCAGAAAGTGCCGCCCAACGCAAATGCCTTGTCAGCCTCTCAGTAAATACACCCTTGATGATCACATCACAAAGCAAGGAAACTATAGAGCCCTAGAAATGCAGGCTTTGCTATAGTGCCTCTGTTAACCACATGGACTTACCTGCTTTATGGATCAAGTCCGTGAGTAACATCTGCCTATAGGTACTGGGCAATGTTATGTACTCGGAAGATTCTGTTCATAGGATGGTCTAGAGCAGTGGTTCCCAACCCAGTCCTCAAGTAACCCCTAACAGTCCAGGATTTAGAGATTACCCTTTTGTATCTAAAGTGTTTTTTTTTCCTTTCTAAAAACACCTTAGACACAACTGGGTAATCCCTATATGTGGACTGTTAGGGGGTACTTGAGTGGGTTTAGGAAATTTAGGATGCTAGGGGTAGGGTTAGGGTTAGGGCTAGGGGTAGGAATTAGGGTAGGGTTAGGGGTAGGGGTTAGTGAATTGCCAAGGTCCCGAATTGCCGAAGTCCCGAATTTTGGAAGTGCCGAACCGAAACAAATCTTTTGCCCATGCACATCTTGGACAAAATCTCTCGAGTACATAACAATGCCCAGTACCTTTAGGCAGAAGTTACTCACGGACTTGATACATATAGCAGATGGTCCTTTGTTTCCTGAGTCCACATGGTTAACAGAGGCACTATAAAAAAGTCTGAATTTCTATGGCTTTATAGTTTCCTTGCTTTGTGGTGTGATCAAGTCACTATTTAGTAGATAGTTCAATATTGACCACTACTCAGTACTAGTGATGTCCCGAACGGTTCGTGGCGAACGGTTCGCCGCGGACTCATCATTGAGTAATCTTTGACCCTGTACCTCACATTCAGCAGACACATTCCAGCCAATCAGCAGCATACCCTCCCTCCCAGAGCCTCCCACCTCCTGGACAGCATCCATTTTACATTCATTGTGAAGCTGCATTCTTAGTGAGCTGTCCAGGAGGTGGGAGGGTCTGGGGGGGTCCCTGGGGAGGATGAGTCCGTGGCGAACCGTTCGGCGAACCGTTCGGGACATCACTACTCAGGACTCATTTATTTTAATATGTATATAGTTTTTATCATCTTTTCTTTGTGGGTGTTTAGGAATTAGGATTTTTATCTCTAGGGGGTTATTGACTTTTCTTTCCCCTATCTACATCCTAGCAGCCCATTCTGAGGCTCCCACTCCTATAGCAAGACAATATACTATTTTCGCTCTCTCCTGGCAACCCCTGCTTTATTTTAAATACTTAGTGACCCCATTTCACTAGGGGTTATTCCCCACACAGGAGGTTTATAATAAATACGTCTTCTTGCTCATTAGCTGCCATTAGAATATTTAACATTTTCAAAAAATTGCAATAAATTAATGGACTAAATATGATGGACAACTCTTTACAATTGGCTGTAAATGGATGTTTATATATTGTGAAAGGGGGAATAAGAGGGAATTAACCCATGACATGGTAGGTCTTCCGTTCTTTATGAAACCTAGGTTTTTTTATACATATATGTGTACGTGTAAAAGAAGAATTCTAGGATATACAGTGAGGGAAAAAAGTATTTGATCCCCTCCTGATTTTTAATGTTTGCCCACTGACAAAGAAATGATCAGTCTATAATTTTAATGGTAGGTGTATTTTAACAGTGAGAGACAGAATAACAAAAAAATTTTTTTAGAAAAATGCATGTCAAATAGTTATAAATTGATTTGCATGTCAATGAGTGAAATAAGTATTTGGCCCCTTCGACTTAGTTGGTGGCAAAACACTTGTTGGCAATCACAGAGGTCAGACGTTTCTTGTAGTTGGCCACCAGGTTTGCACACATCTCAGGAGGGATTTTGTCCCACTCCTCTTTGCAGATCCTCTCCAAGTCATTAAGGTTTTGAGGCTGACGTTTGGCAACTCAAACCTTCAGCTCCCTCCACAGATTTTCTATGGGATTAAGGACTGGAGACTGGCTAGGCCACTCCAGGACCTTATTGTGCTTCTTCTTGAGCCACTCCTTTGTTGCCTTGGCTGTGTATTTTTGGGTCATGCTAGAAAACCCATACACAACCCATTTCAATACCCTGGCTGAGGGAAGAAAATTCTCACCCAAGATTTGACGTTACAGGGCCCCGTCCATCGTCCCTTTGATGCGGTGCAGTTGTCCTGTCCCCTCAGCAGAAAAACATCCTCAAAGCATAATGTACCACCTCCATGTTTGACGGTGGGGATGGTGTTCTTGGGGTCATAGGCAGCATACCTCCTCCTCCAAACACGGCGAGTTGGGTTAATGCCAAAGAGCTCGATTTTGGTCTCATCTGACAACCACACTTTCCCCTAGTTCTCGTCTGAATCATTCAGATGTTCATTGGCAAACTTCAGGATTTCAGTCCTTCATGGCATAGTGTGATACCAATTGTTTTCTTGGTGATTATGGTCCCAGCTGCTTTGAGATCATAAACAAGATCCTCCTGTGTAGTTCTGGGCTGATTCCTCACTGATTCCTCATGATCATTAAAACTCCACGAGGTGAGATCTTGCATGGAGCACTAGACCAAGGGAGACTGACAGTTATTTTGTGTTTCTTCTATTTGCGAATAATCGCACCAACTGTTGTCACCTTCTCACCAAGCTGCTTGGCGATGGTCTTGTAGTCCCTTCCAGCCTTGTGTAGGTCTACAATCTCGTCCCTGACATCCTTGGATAGCTATTTGGTCTTGGCCATGGTGGAGAGTTTGGAATCTGATTAATTGATTGCTTCTGTAGACAGGTGTTTTTTATACAGGTAACGAGCTGAGATTAGGAGCACTCCCTTTAAGAGAGTGCTCCTAATCTCAGCTCGTTGCCTGTATAAAAGACACCTGGGAGCCAGAAATCTTGCTGATTGATAGTGGATCAAATACTTACTTCACTCATTGACATGCAAATCAATTTATAACTTTTTTTGACATGTGTTTTTCTGGATTTTTGTTGTTGTTATTATAGACTGATCATTTCTTTGTCAGTGGACAAACGTTCCAAATCAGCAGGGGATCAAATACTTTTTTCCCCTCACTGTACCTCACATTTTTAGAAAAACACTGTATTAATTGTATAACTATAGTAAAGAGAAAAATGAGAATTGCATTATCAGCCTTTTTCTTCTTTTAGAAATTAATTCCCCATCATGCTAAATCACCATACCATTATTTTTCATAATTCTACAAGTAAAATATAGTGCTTAGATTAATTGCTTGCAGAATGAAAGCACTTACCCCATCTCTATTTCCTCTATAGTGTCTGGCAGTGGTTTGTTGACAGTCTCTGGTAAGAAGTAGACCATGAGTCCTGATATGATGGGGGCTCCTCCGTAGATGACAAGGGGCAGGAAAGGGTAAAAATCTCCCAGCATTTTTACCAGAGGTGCCACAATGCCACCCAGACGTGCCATGGTGCTGCCCAGACCGAGGCCACTCTGTCTGAGAACAGAGAATAATATTGATCTATTGCACAATAAGAATATCATATAACTGAAACAGTTATCATTCTGATTTCAGTGGAACCTATGCATTGTAAGAGTAGTACATAGTTACAGGCTGGTCAATGCCACTTTAAGTGGATTTGAAAAGAAATATGCAAAGCCTGTTTGTGCAGGCTCTGTATCTCTTCAAGTCTGATTTCATAGCGCTACTGTGCATACTTTATTGGAAGGAACACTTCAAGCACCGTAATCAGTGCCCTTGCACTATCTCAGTATAATTTGTAGAACTGTTAGGTCTTCTGCAGGAGAAACTGAATGTCTGTAATAGAATAAAGTATGGCCAATCCAGGACCACTCTCATTGGCTGATTGCATCTTCTGATGCTCTCAACCAATAAGAGCTGTCTTACATGGGGCTGCTCAGCTCTGTGGCTTGATCCCAATCTAAAGGACAATCCTAAAAGCAGGGTATGTAGTTGTTTGCAAACCAGCAAGACCCAGGTAACTTATCAGACCATAGCAAAATGGTTTGACAAACTACACTGTGACTGCAACAATGCATTTATGGCACCATAACCACTAAAGCAGGTTGTAATGGCAATGGTGCTTGGAGTATTGCTTTAAGGTTGTGTAACCCTCACTATTTCAGGGACCCATTACAATGCTGGGTCTTAAAATCCCAGAAGGGCCATTATATTAAGGAAGCTCTAAAATACTCAACAATGAATAATTCAATTCTGTTCTAAAGAAAAGCAAACAGGAAGTGGCACCCTAATATTTCATATTAAATAGTGGTGAGATCAGGCAGCAAATAAAGTACATATATTATAACAATAAAAAGCAAAGCATGCATTTCTTCAACTTTTCATGAGACTTTCTTTTTAAGGTCCACCTTCTTTGACAATAAGAGTCTCATGGCTATTTCATACTGCAATCAGACTTACTGCAATTTTACTATGTTTTCTAAAGAATGTTCTTATCTATTTAAGGGGATACTAATATATATTGAATGCAAAAAGGTTTAACTGTCATGTAGAATTTGATGGAGGATGAATGATATTTTAGGACTGTTCGTATGGTTTGTCTATACTTCTAACTTCCAGTCTTAACACTATTACATAGAAAAATATTTCAAAAGATACAGTTTTGTGCTAGCATGTAAAAGGTTTGTTGCTACTACAATAGTTCACCAAACAAATATGAATAAATACAGAAATAGCCTCAAATGTATCACAGTAGAATGAGCTGGAAGTCAGACTGTTATCCATGCCCAGTTGTCCAACATCAATGCCCGACTACTCTAATGCGAATGGTTCAATAAATGGCTATTGTATCTAATGGCTGAATATAGACAAAATTGAAGATCTTGTGGAAATTCTATAGAAGAGAGCAATAGCAAAGGGCAGACAAGGCACTGGTTTCCCCTCCACCCCCCTTATTCTTCACATTGTGATGGTGAATGGGGCCAAGCAAATTCCTGTCTAACTCTGGGCCATAGGAAGCAGCCTAAGGTCTCCTCAGGATTCGTCCCGCTGTGGCAAAGGAGGGTGCTCAATATTATTCAGGGCTTGACTGACGTGTTTGAGTATTTGAGTTTCAGATCAAGGGCTTGGTTTTATGGAAGATTGAGATCAGTAAAATACATCACCAAATTCAGCATAGTTTTATGTTTTTACAGCGCTGCCATTACTTACGGGACTACCCTGAAGAGGGACACTTGGAACAGGGCCTCTTTTTAATTTTTTATAATAAATTATGACAAATGAGCAGCCACCACCGGTGATTGTTGTGGGACACCCTAAAATCCAGATGGAATGAATCAATCCATCCAAGATTTACCTGTAGAATCTTATTCATTGAATAAAACTACACAGCTAAATCTCAGATTGATCAGGTAATTCCGGTGTGGATTATAAGAAATTTGATTTGGGTGAACCGATCTAAGTTAATTTTTCTCAAACTAATTTTTGCATATGTCTTGTGTTAAATATCTATGGATCGAACTAGACACAGCAGTGGGAGAAAGAGATAGAGAAAGATATGAGTGTAGAGAATCTGAGAAGAACATAAGAAAAACACACAGCAGAGAAATGAAAGAAGAACATTGAAGTGGGAAGAACGTGGAAAGGACAGAAGAGAAAGAAAGAGGAAAAACACCAGAGGGAGATAGAAGGAGATATATGAGTAGGATATGGATTGAGGATGATATAGTAGTGGAGGTAGATGGAAAAAGTAATTGGTGTAAGATGGAAATTGACAAAGTTATAAAAGGGGGATGGGCAGATACACAAAGGGGGAAGTTGGGGGAGATATGAATGATATGTGTAGAAATACAGAATGGGGTACAGAGAGAAACGCACAAAATGGGAAGGTGGAGAGAGACATGTCTTGGATGTAAATGAAAAGGAACTTTTGGAACTGATAAGATCAATTTATGTATGGGATGGCACATACAATTAGGGGAATATTTATGTGATAGTTAAGATGGAAGGCAAAACATGGCAGAACATATTGATCTTGATAAAGCCAACATTATTGTAGATTGTGAACCAGTAAACACCCCAAAAAAAATTATATATATGAATCGACATGAACATGGACATATGGACATCACAATGCATTATATAGTTATGTCACTCACATTGCCCAATGCAAGAATCCCTAATCTTGGAGCAACATGCATGTCCTGGCCTACTGAAGAACACATATACACATCTACTAAAATCTTCACTTACTGTAAAATTATAAAGATGACACACTATTCACACATGCAAGCTGAAGTGTGTTAGGGGGTCTGGAATGTCCCTTTAGGGGCCAATAACAGTCTGGCCTGTAAAGATCTTATATCCCAATGCCATGTGCCACTTATTTAACAATTGCAGTGCTGTAAGGAGTCGCAAATAGAAAATAAGCAGGTTATACCATCCTAGCACAATGTCTTTATTGATCAGATTGTGGTCCTTAATGGGATATGTGTGCAGTCCTTCAAGGATTAATAACGCCGTCTTGTGGTTCTGGAGAAAAACAGAAACCACTTGACTTCCTTCTTGTGGTTTATTAAAATAGGGGTTATTTGCTAAACACAATATTGAGTATAGTTAAAGAGATACTCTAAGCACCAAAATCACCATGTCTGAATGCAGTGGTTTTGGTGCATAGACACTGTCACTTTACTCACAGTGTAAAACATTAACATTTCTGATAAAAAGCAATGTTTACATTAGACCAATAATGCATCTCTGGTGGTTGTCAGACTGACAGTCAGTAGACATTTTTACTCTTTAAGATGGTGATTTTCAACAGTTATAATTCTCTATGAGAAGCATTGAATTGGAAAGAAGTGATCAGACCTTATGACTTCATTGAAGTCTGAGCAACAGCTGTGAACACTCAGCTCTATATATGAATAAAGGTGAGTATTATGGCGATTTCAACTTTAAAAAATAAATAAATTGTAACACATAGTTACATACAGGGTTATTCACTGAAGTGAGAATTCAATGTGAATTTCAAATAACTGACTTTTTCCAGTTCAACTACTTTGGACTTTGAAAGTTTGAAATTCACTTTGAATCCTCACTTTAGTAAATAACCCTGATAATTACATAGTAAGCGAAAAACTAATTTATTCCATTCCATGGAGACTGGAAGAATGGTGCTTTCACCTTTAGCAGAGGAAAGGGTTTTTACAGTAAGAATATTAAAGATGTGGAATTCTCTGCCCAAAGAGTTTTCCGATCAGATTCTGTATCTGTTTTTTTTTTTTTTTTTTTTTAAGCGTAGGTTTATTAAAAAGCAGAATATATAAGGATATAATTGATTTGCACGTAAACATGTTATTGATCCAAGGAGAAATCTGATTGCAGTTATGGAGTCAAGCAGAATTTGTTAGAGTCCTAACCTCAACATCTGAGGAAAGGGATTTAGGGGTAATTATTTCAGAATACTTCAAAGTAGGCAGCCAATGTAATAGAGCAGCAGGAAATGCTAGCAGAATGCTTGGTTGTATAGGGAGAGGTATTAGCAGTAGAAAGAGGGAAGTGCTCATGTAGCCCATGTACCAGCGTAGCTAAGGGAAGTAGGCCTTGACATTGCTAGGAGACAGACATATAGTGAAGTTGGTGTGTGGGATTAGTTCAAAATAGCATTGTGGGTGGAGTTTACAGGCCATATATAAAGGGCCTATTTTAGATTAAAAGGACATTTTAATTAATCTGCACCTACCTGTTATTGTCACACTCTCCATCCCTTTATTTTCTCCTGTTTTGGTCACAGCGGATGGAAAGAAAAGTTGGGGGGTAGGTCTGATTGATATGGAGTAAAATGTTCTATTCAGGGAGAATAGGTAGGCCTTTGGACTGGTTTGGTAGGTTCAGGCTTGTTGGTAGCTCAGAATCTGGGTGTGTAGGGGTATCTCTGTACACCCCTACAATTGTAGAACTGTGAACTGGTGGCAATGGTTAAGTATTCAACATTTATTATATGGTGTTATAATGTTGTTGGGATTCATTGTTTATGTAAGATTGGGTCATTGTCAGGGGGTTTTAATTGTATAAAGGCAGGATGATGGATTTACATGTCAATGTTGGCATTGTGTTGACAATGACCTTAATTTTTACTTGTTAAATCGTATTATCAATAAAATCTGTGATCATTTTTTACCATCAATATGGTGTCAGGGTTTTTATGGGGATTGGTTGATGTTAAGCATATGCCGCAGAGGCGACAATACACATGTCATGCCATTGTACAGAACATTGGTGAGACCTCACTTGGAGTATTGTAGGCAGTATTGGGGACCGTATCTCCAGAAGGATATTGATACTTTAGAGAGAGTTCAAAGAAAGGTCACTAAACTGGTTCATGGATTGCAGGATATAATTTAACAGGAAAGTTTAAAGGATCTTGACATGTATAGCTTGGAGGAAAGACGAGACGGGCGGATATGATAAAAACATAAAGGGAATCAACACAGTAAAGGAGGAGACTATAGTTAAAAAAAGAAAAACTACCACAACAAGAGGACATAGTATTAAATTGGAGGGGCAAAGGTTTAAAAATAATATCAGGAAATATTACTTTACTGAGAAGGTAGTGGATGCATGGAATAGCCTTCCAGCTGAAGTGGTATAGGTTAACACAGTGAAGGAGTTTAAGCATGCGTGGGATAGGCACAGAGCTATCCTAGCTATAAGATGAGGCCAGGGACTAATGAAAGTATTTTGAAAATTGGGCAGACTAGATGGGCCGAATGGTTCTTATCTGCTGTCACATTCTATGTTTCTATGTGTTTCTATGAGTATTTATGAATAAAGGCAAGAAATTCAGTTAAAGGGACACTCTAGGAATCCAGACCACTTCAGCTCATTGATAATTTTTGATAAACTGCAATAATTACCATTGAGGATTACCGCCACCTCTAGAGGCTGTCTACCAGACAGCCACTAGAGGCGGTCGCTAGGTGACTTTTTCTCTCCCTCCCTTTCATTCCCTGCCCTCACACGTACAGCCACTAGATTCTTATCTGCCGTCACATTCTCTAGAGCTGCACCGTTCCTGTGGAACTCCCTTCCTTTTTCTGTTAGACGCTCACCCAGTCTCCACTCCTTCAAAAAATCATTAAAAACTCACTTTTTCACAAAAGCGTATCAATCATACTTTTCCTCTCTCATTAGTTCATGCTCCCGCAATCCCAGACGTCTCTTTGACACCTTTAATTCCCTTCTCCGCCCTGCTGTGGTCACCCCCCAAACTAACCTTACAGCTGATAGCTTTGCATGCTACTTTACCGACAAGATTGAACAGCTAAGGAAACAATTCTCCCCTCCTTGCCGTTCTCTTTCTCAACCGCATGTAAATCTTGCTTTCCCTACCCTCCAGACTTTCTACCTGGCTACTGAACAAGAGGTGGCTGCGCTTCTCCGTTCCTCTCGCCCCACCACTTGCCCGCTCGATCCTGTCCCATCTCACCTCATCAGATCTCTCTCCCCTTGTCTTGTGCCTACCCTAACACACATCTTTAACTGCTCTGTCTCTTCTGGCACTGTTCCTGCTGACCTTAAACATGCCACTGTAATACCTATCCTGAAAAAAACATCTCTTGACCCATCCTCCCCTTCTAACTATCGTCCCATATCCCTGCTCCCTTTCTCATCAAAGCTTTTGGAAAGACTTGTCTTTACCCGTGTGTCTCGCTTCCTAAATTCCAACTCTCTCCTTGACCCTCTTCAGTCTGGCTTCCGCCCTCTCCACTCTACTGAGACTGCTCTTATCAAAGTGACTAATGACCTAATCTCCGCTAAATCCAAAGGTCACTATTCCATATTAATTCTCCTTGACCTCTCTGCTGCCTTTGACACCGTTGATCATGCTCTCCTCCTTCAAACTCTTAAATCGCTCGGTCTCTGTGACTCTGTCCTCTCTTGGTTTTCCTCCTATCTCTCCCAACGCTCATTCAGTGTCTCCTTTTCCAAGGATACCTCCTCCCCTCGTCCTGTCTCGGTTGGAGTTCCCCAAGGGTCTGTCCTTGGTCCCCTCCTATTTTCTCTTTATACTGCCTCTCTAGGTAAACTTATTGCCTCTTTTGGATTCCACTACCACCTGTATGCTGATGACACTCAGATATACCTCTCCTCCCCGGACCTCTCCCCTGCCGTCCTGCAACGTGTCACTGCTTGCCTTTCTTCCATCTCTGACTGGATGTCCTCACGCTTTCTGAAACTTAACCTCTCTAAAACTGAACTCCTTGTCTTTCCTCCTCCTAATACTGATCCTCCTCTCTCGCTCTCCCTTCAACTCAGTGATATCCACATAAGTCCATCCCTGCAAGCGCGCTGTCTTGGTGTCATACTTGACTCTGGTCTCACCTTTGAGCCTCACATCCAGTTTGTTGCCAAGTCCTGTAGGTTCCAACTCAAAAACATAGCCCGCATTCGCCCCTTTCTTACGCAAGATGCTACCAAGGAGCTTGTCCATGCTCTAGTAATTTCCCGCATGGATTACTGTAACCCTCTCCTGATTGGTCTCCCCAAAAGCCGTATTGCCCCGCTACAGTCTGTCATGAATGCTGCAGCTAGACTGATCTTCCTCTCTAGCCGGTCCTCTCACACCTCACCCCTCTGCCAGTCCTTACATTGGCTCCCTGTATGCTATAGGAGTCAATTCAAAGTGCTAACCCACACATTTAAAGCACTGAACAATTCCAGCCCCACTTATATCTCTTCACTAATCCATAGATATGCCCCTCCTCGTACCCTCCGCTCTGCCCGTGACCACCTCCTGACCGCTGCTCGCACCCGTACGGCCAACTCGCACTTGCAGGACCTCTCGCGGGTGGCTCCTCTCCTATGGAATAGCTTGCCTACTGCCATCAGACTCTCCCCTAGTCTTCAATTATTTAAAAAGGGCCTTAAAACCCATCTCTTCAGGAAAGCTTATGGCCTCCCGGAGTAATCTCTACCTTACATCCCTGTCTCCTGCTCTCTCCTATGGGACAGTGCTTTGCTCTCTCCTCCAGCTCTGCTTCACTCCTACTTGATACTTCTTGTCCTAATGTTTCAAATACCCCACCTCCTATAGTCTGTAAGCTCATTTGAGCAGGGTCCTCTTCAACCTATTGTTCCTGTAAGTTCTCTTGTAATTGTCCTATTTATTGTTACATCCCCCCTCTCATAATATTGTAAAGCGCTACGGAATCTGTTGGCGCTATATAAATGATGATAATAATAATAATAATAATAATAATAATAATAATAATAATAATTAAACTGTTAATGGCTCCCAATTGATTGTCATTTAAAAAAAACAAAAAATCACACACTAAATCTTCAGTGAATACTATTCTACCAATCTACTTCCCTATTGCTATCGTTACCTTTTTGTGTCACTTTACCCCACTCCCTCTAGCATGTAAGCTCATTGAACAGGGCCCTCAACTCCTCTGTTCCTGTGCGTCAAACCTGTCTGGTTACAATTAGATGTGTGTTAGTCCACCCACTGTAAAGTGCTACGGAATTTGTTGGCGCTATATAAATATAATAATAATGTTTCTATGTTTCTTTTTGTGGCATAGTTGACCATTACTTCAAATTGAATTTTTGGCCTTCTTTTGGATCAACAGGATAAAATGATTTTAAATGTTAAACTCAATGGACATGAATATTTTTTCAATCTAGATTACTATGTAAGTATAGCAATGGGCTCTTCATCTAAATGAAAAAATGAAACACTAATGTTAAAAATAAATAAATTTATTTTTAAAGACCAACTAAAAGAACCCAGACCACTTCCCTATGGGGAAACATTGGATTGGCTGAAATCATTAATCTTGATGATTTCAACCAAGAAGGTGGAGCTGCAGGACAGAGACCAGTGCGGCGAGGGCTGAAGGTATGTAAATCTCACCTTTCAAAGTTGCCATGGAATTGGGGGGGGTCGCCAGGGAATTGGGTAGATTAAAACTATAGCATTAGGAATCCACGTGTTCATTTTCAATTGAATTACAAGATTTAGGCTAAAAGTGCTGAATTGTAACGAGAAATTCAGTTATAGTCATAGCTTGCCTGTTTTGCATGTCTTTTGCAATGAAGATGTCTACTAAAAACTGCAATTTGGTGTTTAGTGTTTACATGTCTCCTTAATGGCATAACTTTAACATAATAACATCTAACTGTTATTCGTTAAAAATATGCAGGGAAATGTTGGCAAGGGGGGCATTTGCCCTCCAGGTCACTAGGATAACAAGAGGAATTCAAGGAAGCAGCACTTTTTATCTAGAGGACCCTGTACCTCATATTCCTTGGTGGGAAACATACCACCTTAGCTATTAAGGATTTAGCATTACCTAATTTGCTCTTTCTTTGTGAGCATACCTTCTTTTGTCATATTAGCATTACAGAGAGCACTATCTCCTGTTTTTGTTTCCTTTTATGCACTGGATCACTATTACTGGCACAGTACAACACACTGAATGTGAACATCCCCATTACTTCTGACCACCAAATGCTGACTACTAGCCTAAGGACATCTTTCAATACAGGACCAGGAGCATCAGCATATCCATAGACAGGAATTGGACCATAAATAATATTTATTAGAGGCTTCCTCAGAGAACAATAAAATCAGGGTTACTCAATAAAGTTAGAATTCAAAGTGAATTTCAAATTTAAGGCCAGATTAGCCAACCTGAAAGCATAGCAAAGAGCAGGGGTGCCCAAAAGGTAGAACCCCAGATGTTTAAAACTACAGCTTTGTTATTCTAAAGGCATGCAAAGCATCATGGGAGTTTAAGTTCTACAACGTCTGGGGATCTACCTTTTGGCATTGAGGATTTTCCCAGTTTCGCAATTTTGATCTTAAAGGAACACTATAGTCACCTAAACAACTTCAGCTTAATTAAGCAGTTTTAGTGTATAGATCATGCCTCTCAGGTTTTACTGCTCAATTCACTGCCATCTAGGAGTTAAATCACTTTGTTTCTGTTTATGCAGCCCTTGCTACACCACCCCTGGCTATGATTGACACAGCCTGCAAAAAATATGGTTTCACTTTCAATCAGATGTAATTTACCTTAAACTATTTTATCAATTGCTCTGTAAATTGAACTTTAAACACATACAAGAGGCTCTTGTAGGGCCTATCAAGCTATTAACATAGCACGGTATAAGAAAATCTAAATTAAACAGAACTTGCAATTAAGAAAGGATAAACTCCTAATGGAAGGCAACCAACCCACTAGCCTACAAACCTTCCGCTATGTACAACTCAGAACATACTAAGGAAGAGATTACATTTCAGGTGATTGCATCTCCTTCTTGTCCTATTATATTAGGATTCCCATGGCTTAGCAAGCATAACCCTCATATTGACTGGGCTAATGGGGAAATATTAGAATGGGGTAAGGATTGTAATGAAAGGTGCTACCGGATACTACCGGACACTCCCAGACAAGGAAAAGTTACACAGGGACCTGACATGGTTCGAAACGCTCTGCGATCACAAGACTACCCTAGGTAAGGCGATATCCCTATTATACCAACACATGCTCTTGGGGCACCTCACTAACAACGACCAATTCCGCAGACGTTGGGAACGCATGCTAAATACATAATTCACCACGTCCCAATGGGATAAGATCCTCATATTACACCATAAATGCTCATCGAGCTCCCAATATCAAGAAACCAACTATAAACTTCTTTCATTCTGGTATAGGATGCCCGACAGTCTACACAGGATCTTCCCAAATGTACCTGACACATGCTGGAGATGCGGGGATGAACGTGGTTCGCCACTACACATATGGTGGTAATGCTCGCTCATTAAGCTATACTGGGACGAAGTCCTACAGAAAATAGGGGAAATCACAGGGACGGAAGGAAACCTCAACGCAGAGGCAGTCCTCCTACACTCCACACCAGATCCCATAGGCACATATAGGAAAAACATTCGTAGACACCTAATTAACGCGGCCAAGGCACTGATTCCACTGTACTGGAAACAAACGAATATCCCGACGATAAGACAATGGATGGAGCGGGTGGAAGAAATCTATAGAGCGGAATCAATACAGGCTACACTTAGAGGACTAGAGGACAAACGTGGAGAGGTGGCGCCCGTGGCTACTCTACATAGCGGACCGAAACACAGAAAGGAATAGCCGTTCGCAGCCCCAGGGAGCCCCATGACCCCCCACAGATGGGGACTGACGTCTGGTTCGATACATACTACGCCGTGGACACGGGTGACGGGACCACCCTATTCTTCATACCCCCCCCCGCCCATCCACCCTCCACCCAGCTCCCTCCTCCTCATCCCCCCCTCTCTCTTTCTCTTACTTCTTACTCAATTATCACTCATTTTCTTTCTAAAACTTTCCAACAATGGTTTCATTATGAATTGCATGATAAACGTAGCCCTCCTTAATCCAAGATTGCCCACAATTGTGTCACTCACTCACACTTACATATCAAAATGGAAACACCTTCATCATGCGATTACACAACACGAATAACGCATACTCCTGAACGACATCTGACCTATAACGACGGACCAATAGACCTTGCCACCCCAAAGAGAAAGAGGCTCAAGGGTGATAAGGAAATATTAGAGGAACACAAAAAGCAGACACAAGGCACAAACTTACGAATATCCCTCTACTCAAGCCGCAATCCGATCACCCATATGTATATACTAATGTGTTAAATGCGACCAAATACCATACAGATATAATATGTAACATTGTCTGAGTGATGTTCGCACACTTCACGTTGGGACCTGCGAGTCCGTTATATCTTGTCTACTTGTTCAATCTATAGATACATGCTGGTGTACAGTGATCAGGGCATACCCTGAAATGCTTATGTTTGAATAAAGCCTTTTTGAAACTAAAAAACAGCACCAAGTATTCTCCCAAAGAAAGTACCCCGGAATTTTATTTTGGTCAACTTGGTGGTAGCATCATGTACATGGTTTTTCCCCCTTTCTGCACAGTGAACGTTTGGTTTATAGACCCTATAACCTATGGACTCATATGGATTGTATATAGTGAATGATCAAATGGGGGATGCTGATATTTGTGACTTTTTATGAATAGGTTATTCAGTCTTCATTTCCCTGACTGCATGTTTGAAGTAGCTTTTTTTTTTTTTAAATTTCCTATTCTCGCACTAACCTATCACTTTACACCAGCATTCTCTGTCGGTAGTTTGATATCAATCCATTAAACTCTTTGCCCATTAAGAAAGGATAAACTTTAGATGACTCTTTACAGGAAGTGTTTAGAGAGGCTGTGCAAATCACATGCAGGGAGGTGTGACTAGGGTTCGTAAACAAAGTGATTTAACTCCTAAATGACAGAGAATTGAGCAGTGAGGCTGCAGGGGCATGTTATATACACCAAAACTGCTTCATTAAGCTAAAGTTGTTTTGGTGACTATAGTGTCACTTTAAATTTGAAATTACTTTTAAATTCTTACGTCAGTGAGTAATCTTTTTAACAGATTAAGTAACTATATTCTTTTATTAATATTGTAATCCACTTGTTGCATTATCGGTATAAAACATTTAATAAAAAAATAAGAAAGAATATGGAGCATGATGTGACAAGTTTTGCCTGCTTGGGCTGCTTGTTTTTAGTTGCCCCTGGGCCAAATGTTGTCAGTCCTCTATTGATTGTATGTATTTTGTCTATTTATTGTAATAACTGACATCCTATTAGGCACTCGGGGCTATTATTAGTGGACATGTATAAATGGTGCGTGAGTTCTTGGTTTCCTTATGCTTGTTAGCTTATTAAAAAGTAAAGACAATATTTTCTATTGGGTGGAATAGATTTATCAGCTTGAAGCCCCAGGGAAAAGTGTTTTAACGTCTGGAAAAAAAAATGTGATCATCGTTCACTGAACATGTTTCTTTTTGGCCCTCTCTTATTACCTAAACATTTTAACCACAAATGGAATAAAGAGCAATGATCTTTAAAAAAAAAAAGTATGATGCCATATCTGAGATTAAATGTGTGATCTTCAGTATACTTGCTCATTAGAAATAACAGCATTAAAGATAAAGTGGCACCTTTGTGGACCATTTCTCTTTACTAAACACTTTTGAATTGAAGCATCTACTTGCAGTGGAGGGAGCATTAACCCCTTAAGGACCAAACTTCTGGAATAAAAGGGAATCATGACATATCACACATGTCATGTGACTTTAAGGGGTTAAACTTATTGTCCTCTGTCACTCTTATGGGTGATCATTGTCACTATCTCCTGGAGATGCCAAGTTTTCCCATGAACCATAGCACCCACACAAGCTGTCATTGGCTGTGCAAAGAGAATTGTGGGACTTTTCTGCATTTGCATGGTACATAAGCCATATATTACACTTGCTGCAAACAGCGTATTAGCAGTACACACCTAATTTTATGATAGAATTAATGCATTGTACCAATTAGGGGACAGCGTACACAAACAAAAAAGTAAGTTTTTACCTTTTACCATGTTACTTAAAATCACCAATTAATGCATTGATCACAAGTGAGATATAATTTTTAATTTACATCCACATAAAACGTTTGAAAAAAAAACACAACTTCATCCTCTCAATGATGTCAGATGAGGAAGATCTGGTTGCAGGGAGAACTTAGACTCAGCGACAGAATCAAAGTAATTTTTTTATCTTTATTTTTAAGATAGGGGGGACTACCTCAAAAACGCTCACTCTATTTACCACCAATGGTTTATGAAAACACTGTTAACTAAACATCTATACAAAGATATACAATAGTTTCATTAAAACTTTATAAAGCTACTAGATACCACAGCAGCTCCCCATTGTGGCCAAAAATATATTTGTGCTGCTAAAGGGAGTTATCAGTTTTTGAAATATTTATATGGTTTGATCCACTAGAACTCGACGCTGAATAAACTGATGTCTCAATAAACTTACACCAAAAATGCTATTCACTGACTGGCACGACTTCACATTGCCTATTAGGAAGAGATTTGACCGGATGGCGAGTATTTCGAAAAACCAAAACAAAATAAACTACAAGGTCATTAGCTAGTCACTAAATTGAGTCACGTTTTACTGGCTGAAAAAAATGCTCTTTTACCGGTGTAAAGTCTCACTAGGCTAACTATACAGGTCTAATTAACTATTTTAGTGCAAAAACAGAAAGCAATGCTGTGTGCAGTTTTCCCTTGTTGTGACATTGATATGTAAGTAAAATTTAAAAGGGATTCATACTGGGGTCTGGACGACATTAAATTATAGTGTTCTAATGTCATACTCAATGCCAGCCTGCGATCTGAGATGTGAATATCACAGATCTTTAAATTAAAAATGTAAATCGCAACAGCGCTGTTATTTACACATCTTAGTTAGTGACGGTATATTTTATGTATTAAATAATATCCTCATATTATATTAAGTATTTATCCTTAATTGTCCTATGTATAGTTAAATCCCACCCCCCTCATAATATTGTAAAGCGCTGCGGAATCTGTTGGCGCTATATAAATGGCAATAATAATAATAACATATGTACACATATATTAATGGAGCACAATAAAGAGTGATCTATGGATTTGTGACTCTTAGCACTTTCTTTGTAGGGTGTGACATACATACCTCGATGACAGTCTCTGTACCATTTCCTAGAACTGGTCATGTGTTTTCTCAACAGCCATGACAGATACCGTTTAAGAAAAAAACAAACATGGCTTGATTCAAAAGAGTCTGACTGTTTCTATTAGCATAAAATAAAAGAAATAATAATCTGGAACCTGTAAAGTCCACAAACACATATTTGTTTTAATATATAGAAACTTTTCAGACCACAAACACACTTTTATTTTCTGTTTCAATAGTTTTGCACCAAATTTACTGTGCTATTCACTAGTTGGCATAACTTTTCAGCAACTCTGATTGGTCAAGGCTTTATACAGAGTGTTCCACGGGAAACCATAGAAATCCAGTACAATACGGGCTGTGATTTCACCGGCTGAATAAAGCCCTTTTACTGGCATGAATGTTTTGCCTAGTGGGGCCAGGGAGCAGATTTCCGTAGTCTTTGCTATATAAAAACTTAGGTCTTTTTAATAAAGACATTGGATTGGGAACATGCAGATGTTTCAGGCAGATTTATTAGGATGGTTTATGCAACATTTCGTCTCTAACTGGGCTCTTGAGAAAGGCTCCATTTTGAGCCAAAACATTGCATGGACTTTCCTAATAAAACCATCATCGTGTTCTGGGTCCAATGTATTTATTGATACTGGTTAAAGGAAAATAGTTTGACAAAATCCCAAAGGACTTCAGCTTTAGTCTACTGGCACCACACCCACTATAACAAGCTGTAGTGGGTGCGGTTCTTGGAGTGTCCCTATAATATTAACAAACTTTCTTTAAAGTAACAGTGCAGTCCCTTATAAATGTATTTATATCATTGGGATAAATTTACATCATTAAGAGAATGTTTATGCGCAGGAAGCCATTTTCCTTCCTGATCAGGTTAATTCACGGAACCTGTGACATCAGAAGGAAGTGACACTGTAAGCGTTCTGGCGATGCTCTACGGGAAATTCTGTTTATGCCCAAGAGACACTGGGCAGTAATTGAAATATTGTGTTTGTTCATAAATAATAACAAATGTGTTTTACAGCACGTTTACCCAACCATGACGCACAACACATCGATCCTGAACCACTCACCTTATAACAGTAGGGTACAACTCCGTGGTGTAGAGAAAAGCACAACTAAATGCTGAAGCAAAACACCCTTTACCAAACACTGCCAGGCTGGTCCTCAGGATCGGAAGATCTAAAATACACAAAAATATAGATTGTGAGTTTGTCCCATAAAGTCTGCCATTTACACCAGCTAATTAAATCTACCTTTGTTACCATATTTTTTTAACTATAACAATGATGCCATTTATAACTGTAGCTTGCCAGTGTAATATTGTGTGCGTGCATTTTTAAATATTTTCTGTGGATATAATGCACCGATATTTCATTTACAAATATTTATTACAATTTTGTCCGATAGATTTTGGTTGGCACAATTTTCAATTGTATAACAAATGTTTGCTTTACATCAACCCCGCCCCATCTCTGACCCCTCCTAGCAATAAATACACTTAGGCCTCACTCTAGAAACCCATCTAAGCGAACGTACAGAGAAAGACTTCATTTACAATATCCACCAGCCATAGATACAAGGATACCGACTCTATGTGAAGTATACAAAATAAAAAATATGGCTTAAAAGTTCAAGTCCTGTGCTTTTAGCCATGTCGTCAAAGTTATTAGTTACTGCAAGCTTAGAGGGTACATGGCACACTCAGCAGAGGTAAATGTCTACTCACCAGGGCTAGGTTTTAACTTGCAATGGCTGGTGGCAAGTGAACATATTGAGCCTTGGATATAGCATTTTGTTGGTTTTTCATATAACATATATTTACCAGCTGCTGGTATGGCTGCATCTGAGAACATTTGCTAAGGTCTTTACTCTTTATTTAGATTTTCACAATAAGCTTACTTCACGGTAAACAGCAAAAGGCAACTGAATCCCCTTTGACCACTATTGCTCCATTAATGGACTGTTATTGGCATATGGGCTGGTGTATGATACGTTAGACTAATAGTTAATAAATGTGTCCCTAATAAAGGAGCATTTGCAACAGGGAACGTAGCATTCTTGGTATTTGTTACTTCTTCTCTTATTCTGTCGACATTGCAGTTGTTCTCACCAGCTGGTACAAAGATGTTTGCCAAAACAGCCAGTCCACCAAGAAAGAGTGAAATGCACTGGGTGACCCTCCGTCCAATGTAGATCATGCTTGTGGTGGAAACTAGTTTAGCAGGTATGTCAACAACCCCGAAAATAACCTGGATGAGATAGATGCTGACTCCAAATTTCTGAAGATCCATAGCTAGTCCATAATAAGCAAAACTGGTGGAGAACCTGGGTTAATAAATCAAGCAGAGACAATGAGTGTGAAGATCAGAAGAGGTGTCTCTGTCTCAAAAAAACGAATTAAGTAAATATAGTGAAATCTGTTCAACATACTGAAGTATAACACATTAAAACAAATTGTGTTATTATATGGGTTATATATGAAAATCGCAAAGCGCTCAACAATGTATTTTGTATTGCTGTCTGCACCTGTAGTATGCAAGTTTCATGACAAATGTGTGTCAACATAATTACTGTATGGACAAAAATGTGTATCAGGTAATTATTAATCAATAACTATACAAAACAAGTTCTAATTATTGGAACCATACCGATCAACAGCTCATCATGATAATGAAATGTACACGTTTCATTGATTAACAAAATCTTGGCACTACAAATCTATCTTAACTAAATTTCCAATCACAGAACAAGTAGTTTACAGACACCTGTAGTACCAGTGTTAGCCACTACTGAGCAGCCAAGGCTGATGACTAGGGTCCCTCACAGGTAGACTTTGTAATTTGTTTCACTACAAACTGCAATTTGGCCGACTTTAGGCTGATTAGCTGATCAGTCGAATTCCCAAACTTCGAGCCAAAATGTAGCCGAATCCAAAACCAAATGAAATGCATAAGGCCAAGCATGTTTGTTTTGATTCTGAATGTGGTGCCAAAAAATAGATGATTGAAGGGAAAGAAGATTATTGACGGCTAAGGGATATCCACCAAATGTTGATAATATGTCTATACTTGCGCGCCTTTTGCTTAGTCTGATTCATTTTATTATTATTATTATTGCTATTGGCTGCTAAGATCACATGATAAATGAAGCCATCTTACCACACAAAGCTCATGCCACAAGATATTCTGCGCAATGTTCCAGTTCTGACCAGGTCTAAGGCACTGTAGGTTTCCTTTCCACAAGCCATCTCTTTTATCATATCAGTTTTCAGCGTCTGTAAGAAGTAGGGAAGATGGCAGTTTGCACATATGCACGCTATACTATTCAAGCAGAGCATTATCTATTGGCCGAACTAATTAATTTTGCACTTACAATACCATCACCATGCTGAGCTAGAGGATCCGTCAATACCAGGGGTCTTTGAATCATACTCCAACTCAATCAGGATCAGCATTTCATCAAGATGATATCTTTATGAAATACTGAGAAGTGATGGAGCCGCTTTAAGGAAGTTGTTGTCCAGAAATTGTTATGGGCTCACACTTTGCCGTACCATATAAATACAAGTTGATTTTATGTGCCTGCCACACAATCTGATGACCACCTACAGCATAGCACTATATGTCACCTACAGCATGCATGAGGCACATTGATGTCCTGTACCAGCAAAGAAGAACCCCCCAACCGCAATGACAGAATGTTCCTGTGCGCACTCCACGCTCTTTAACCAAGGTCTACTGATGTCCAGAATGGACCTTTAACAATATTGAAGTTCCATCACAGTTTAACCCCTTAAGGACACATGACATGTGTGACATGTCACGATTCCCTTTTATTCCAGACGTTTGGTCCTTATGGGGTTAAAGGAACACTCCAAGCTCATAACCACTGTAATTTTTTTCCTGTGGATTCCAGAAAAGAAATCAAACCATTCAAAAATGATTTTACTACTTACATGGACGGGTGGAGGGGGGTAGGGAAGGGAGCACCAGGGCATTCCTGGCACCATAACCACAACAGTACACTTTAGTGGTTATAGTGTTAGGAGTGTCCCTTTTAACAAGTATTTTCACATGACTCTTTAGTGAAACAGTAGTCACTGAATGACACAAAAGAAATGTGGTCAGTCACTAACAGGATGGGGAAAAAAACAGAACAGGATGTGTTTTGTTTTCTCTTTTAAATATGTGCATTTTTTGTGTTATACTTAACCCCTTTAAGCCCAATGTTAGTTAATTCCATCATCAAAACGTGGTCCCTATATTCCTATCGCAGCATTTAGCATTTGTAGCTGTGTACAAACCAGTTACCTGAAATGATTGGTATATTACATTATGATAAAAAAAGGTCTTTAAATGCAAGTTGTTTTTTTGAAGGTCCATAAGGGGTTAATTTATCATGTCGCTGTGTACCCAAAGCTGTTAAGCAACTTACAAATCTTTTTTTTTTTTTTTTTGCATAACTTGTCCTATCCAATAAAAAACATGAATTAAAAGAAAGCATTGACAAACCTGCGTCAGAGAAGGATATCTATAAATAAAATGTAAACATATAATTTTTTTTTACTGTTAGTAATGTCTATACTATAATGAATATTTAAAAGCAGTAATATATTTCTGGGTGCCCTAGCCCAGCTTTTTTATTCAAAGTACCACATGGTTTCACCCCTGCACTCACATAATATGAACCATGTATATACGCACAGACACAGGGTTAAGTAGCAAAGTGAGAATTCAAATTCTGAATAGAAAACTTAGCTGGCTTAGATCATTTTTCCAGTTTGGCAAGTTTTGATCTTAAATATTAAACTAACTTGAATTTTCACTTTAGTGGATAACCCAGACAGACTCACACGTAAAAAAAAGTTACCTAAAATGGTTTCTATCCCTTTAAAAGTGGCGAATACTCAAAAGTAGAGGAGATACTATGTTCATTGAAATGAATATGCCTATGTTTAAGAGTGACTTGTTTAACCCCTTAAGGACACATGACATGTGTAACATGTCATGATTCCCTTTTATTCTAGACGTTTGGTCTTTAAGGGGTTAAAGGGACACTCCAGGCACCCAGACCACTTCAGCCAACTGGAGTGGTCTGGGTGCCAGCTCCCATCACCCTTAATCCTGCAAGTATAATTATTGCAGTTTTTATAAACTGCAATAATTACCTTGCATGGTTAAGTTCTCCTCTAGTGCCTGTCTATCAGATGAAAAGTGTTTTAAACTATCCTGGCGTCCTCACGCTATGCATGAGGACTTCCAGCATCGCCGGAACAATGCTTTCCTATGGGGAGGTCTTATGCGCGCGCGACCATTGCCGCGCATGCACATTAGGAGCGTGGGCAGAGCCTGTCCCAGTGCCTAGGGACATCGGCGCTGGATTCAGGTAAGTTACTAAATTGGTTTTAACCTCTTCAGCAACATGGGATCGGAGGTGGAAGGGAGGGGGGCACTGCAGTATTCTGCAGTGCCAGGAAAATGGATTTGTTTTCCTGGCACTGGAGAGTCCCTTTAATTTTTTCTCACAGTGGTATGCAGGGACCTTCGGTATGCATATATGTATAATATATATTGGAGTAGGGAATGAGTCCAGTGATGTAGATATAAAACAACAGGTGAAGTTAGTATCTTGTAATATGTTTTTTATTGGACTAAAAGAATTTTGAAGGACAAGCTTTCAGGAGAACCTCCCTTTCTCAAGTCTATTCAATCCTGTGTATTATCTGCACTCATATCGTTTTAACCCCAAGTATCACAACTCAACTTTGAATTCTATGTGTCGTCTTTGCTCAGAAAGGCTTTAGACTTGAGACCAGGAGGTTCTCCCGAAAGCTTGTCAGTCCAAAATTCTGTTAGTCCAATAAAAAAAGGTATTACAAGATTCTAATTTCATCTGTTATTTTACATCTATAGTATATATATATATATATTATATTTGGTATATCTCATCATGCTTAAGATGTCTCCCCGACAGGCTTTTGGAGGCCGCAGTAGTGTGTGTGTAGCTGTCTGGGAGGTCTATTGCAGCTGAAAGGAGCCTCGCTAGTGCCTCGCTGTCTACAAACTGATCGGTACATGGGTGTTTAAACGCTGTCAGCTACTTTCTACATACTATGCCTGGTGTTTTGAGACACACAATTATCAAGACTGGGTGAGATAGCTCTGATTCTTGCCAATTTGATCTGTGAAAGACTGGGCTACATTTAAAACGAACTGTAAACAAACTAAAACAAGACATAGCTTTAGGGATCCTCGCTATTTGTATATATCATTTGTTGCTGTGTTTTTTTATGTGCCTAAGTGCATTGTGGATATATTACAAATCTACACTAAGGTTAGGGGTTACTTAGAGTTGGAACTTAGTAAGAGTTAGGGTGTGCTTAGGGAACTAGAAAAAGAAACCCATAGCTCAGCATATATGTAATGAAAAATGTATTTTATTTATGTATCCTATAACTCAATAATAGTACACATAAAGTGCACTTGCAAGTATAAATATATCTCCATATATGTGAAAAAAACTATGTACCAAACACTTACATGTAGTATAAAGAACACTAAACTAAAGGTATACCGACCACAGAATGGAGACCAAAAAATAATTTTGGAAGGACAAGCTTTGCAGTATAAATGCAGTATAAAGTACACACATATAGACAGATAAATGTAACTCAAGGTATACTGACCACAGGATGGAGACCAAAAGAAAAAAAAAAAAACGTTTTGGCTGGACGCTTTTCTCAAAGAGATCTCATGGATCTTAGTATGGATATATATTTATACATGTGTATATATATATATATATATATATATATATATATATATATATATATATATATATATATATATATATATAAATATATATATATATATATATATATATATGCACTTCCTGTGTACTATTCTTGAATGATATATTCTTGAACGAAGTCTATTTTCCATTACATATTTTGTGTGCCATGGGATTCTTTTTTCTTGTTTATAGTTTATCCAAGTTGGTAATAGGATTTTCCTATTTGGTACCCTATTGATAACTTGTACATTTATTTCTATCACCCACACAGTTGATCGCTCTGTGTATTTGTTTACTATTATCTTTTTGTACTTAGGGAACTACCTTATTGTTTAGGGTAATTGCATTCAATGTTTTTCCACAAATATTTGAGGGTGCAGGATGCAGTGGGGGTACACCTCAATACCGTTGTGTGAGCACTGTTACAATGTATATCGTTATTCAGTGTACACGTCTTGCAATATTATGCCAATGCCGTTCACTATATTGCAGCTATTACCTTAGTGTCAGGGTTGTTTTGAAATGTTTACATTTGTTATAGAGAAAGCTGGAGTATAGGTTATCTGTTCTTTATAGTTATGACTATATACAAAATGTTAATGTATTTACTTAATCTACCTCAAGAGCAAGTGGAAGAGAGAACATTGGGTAGATAGCATGCATATCCAACAGGTTCTGAGCAGCAATAGGTAGTCTAGGAAACATATCCAGGCCTAGTTTATGAGAGAATACTATCTAAAAGGAGCTTACAGATTTTTAGAACTGATGTGCAGGTCTAAAGCAGATGAGACCTAGTGTCACTAGACAGAAAGCAGCAGGGGGAAGTCTATCCTTAAAATGCCATCCAAGCTGAAGTATGAGATCTGAAACCTAGAAGTTCTATGAAGGTGTTTGATGTGTGTTTAAGAACTGCTGGGATCCATCATTTTTATGACTATTCTACTGCACATTCCACCGGTAGTGAAGGTTAAATAAGCAGCTCTTTGAGCTGTGATGAAAAGTGTAGATAAATAAATATATGTCCCGTTACCTCTAAAGTTATCTTCTCCCCTTCTTCTCTCTTCCCATTTAAAATTGCTACTTTTTTCATCCCCTTGACTGCTTGTTCGGGTTTTCCAGACAGAACAAGCCAACGGGCAGATTCAGGAAACCACCTAGGAGGAAATCAAATTTATTTTTATTTTTTCAAATGTTAGAAGTGGAAGCCTTAATGTAATAGTCAAGCTATATGTCACTATGTTATTTCCAATGAAAAAGGAAATTCTGATTGAGTTTTGTTGAGACAGGTTTAAGGGTAGAAAACACAGTACTCTATATAAGCCGTTATGGCACCAACCTACGAAGATTTATATTAGGCCTGGATGTGCCAAAAACTGTTTTACCTGGTCTGAACTAATATTTTCTTTTCTTGTGTTATCCTTTCATTATCAGAGCTCAGTGTAGTGTTTCAATTACATCATTACAGGGAAAACTACATTTGACAGCTGCAATTTACCAATTAACCCATCCAGTCTGCCCCTAACAGTTATCTGTAGCAAATTAGGATTTCTAACTTTTTGGTATGCCTTGCATTCCCTATCATTCAATATTTTTTGTACAGACACATCCACAAAGTTAATTAAGGTAAACCGTTGCACTTGATAACAGAGGCATACACTGTCAATGATACTGAGCAAGGTACATAATGAAGGTCTGTACATTATTGTGTTGTAAAAAAACCATAGGAATGTTGGGTTGTAATACTAACCAGGAGTATAAAAAGAAGAAAAAAAAAGGTAAAGAGACACATAGCTGCAGCCAACGCCAGTCTCGTATGCCATACGCTAATCCTGCCAGTAGAAGTTGTCCAACTGTGTAACAATATCCTGCTATTGTGCCTGTGATTGTGCGAACTTTAGTAGGAATCCACTCCACAACTAACAGAAAAGAAAAATAGCAGAATTAATATATTTGTCATACCAAACTATCCCATTATAAGCCCCACCATCCCATCTCATGCCCTATCATACCTCACCATCCCATCTCATGCCTCACCATCTCATCATATGAATTATCATCCCATCCTATGCCTCACCATCCCATGCCTCACCATCCCATCCTCTGGGTCACCATTCCATTCCATGGATCACTATCCCATCCCATGCCTCACTATACCATTCTATGCCTCACCATCCCATCACATGGCTTACCACCCCATCCTATGGCTCACCACCCTTTAACACCTAATGCCTCAGCATCCCATCCCATGACTTACCACCCCATCCTATCCTATGTGTCACTATCCCATGCCATGCCTTACTATCCCATGCCTCACCAACTCATTCTATAGCGCACCATCCCATATTAGGCTTCACCATCTCATGCCTCACTATCCCTTCCCATGCCTCAAAACCCTATCACATAGCTCACTACCCCACAACATACCCCTCAGCATGCCATCCCATGCTTCCCAATCCCATGCCTCACTATCCCATATCATGGCTCACCATCACTTCCCATGGCTCACCATTCCATCCAATGGCTTACCACCCCATCCAATCCTGTGCCTCACTATCCCATGCCATGCCTCACTATCCCATGCCTCACCAACTCATCCAATAGCTCACCATCCCATCTTATGCCTCACTATCCCATCCCACACCTATCACATAGCTCACTACCTCACAACATCCCATGCCTCAGCATGCCATCCCAGGTCTCCCCATCCCAGGCCTCACTATCCCATCCAATGGCTCACCACCCTACTCTATCCTGTTCCTCAGCATCCCATCCCCTGGCTCACCACCCCACTCTACCTCATCCCAAGACTTCATTTGAATTAAGTCAATGTTGCTTATTTAGATGCCATCAGTTAGAAACAGAAGCACTCAATGTGTGTGTGCACTTAACCAGTGAGTCTGCTTTAAATTTCAATGCAGTAACTCACAAAATCTTTAATGGCAGCCCCCAGTTTCTTACAGTAAGAGAAAAAAAAATATTGTTACCTTTGTGATATAATTTTTTAGCTCTTGATAAGTTGAACATTTTAGTTGATCCCAACAATATGATCCCACTTCTTCAATTACATCCTTTGGACCATCTACAGTGAAGGGGGATGTCCTCTTTTCAGTTCCATCTTCTACCTAATGAGCTGCCCTTACCAGGAATTAAATATGGTTTTATCCTGTTCCCTTCTTACATTTATTTTTTTATTTGTCATATATAATAATGTGAATGTATTTTTTTTAACCTAATCTATTGGTATTACTGCATAAGCTTGCATGCCTTTTTTCATGATAATTGTTTTGTGTATTGTATTTTAAATTCACAATAAAATTAATACGTACAAACAACAAAAGAACACCCCCAACTGACGGGATATATTACTCTATGGTACTCCCCTTTCAATCTCCCAATGTGTGGCAACTGAGGGGTTCATAATATGGCACATGGGCACCAGCGGCTAGGATATTAAAAAGTGAGAATATGTGGTTCCAAAGCCAAAATAACTTGTGGCTGAAGAGTTATATATAATTATATATATTTATCCACAAGGAGGAGTAAGAATTTCTCCAAAAACCATCATTTGAAAGCAATGTTCCCTAAATCCCTGGTATGAATGTTCAAACCTGCCAACCCCTTTCCACACACCCTTTAAACAATATAGTTTCTCTTAAGTCACAGATGCAATTTCTTTAAACAAGGAATGTAGCTTTCATAAAAGCTTTACATGCAAATTGGTAAATCATTGAGCTAAAACACATTGTAAAATGGTTATATAACCCAGCAGATCTTCGATGACAAATCATAACTGAGATCTTGATCTACGCAACACTTTACAAACAGTGTAATTACAATAAGGACTTATAAAAGTATGTATACCTTGCTTTAATAGCATATGATCTAGGTTGGCTACACATTTGTAGAAACAAACATGTCGATTTACGAGTTGCTGTCTGTGTTGTTTTTTTCTAGAGACATTAAACTTATTTAAAAAGTAAAGCCTCTCCACTGAAAAGCATAGATGAGAAAAAAAAAAGTAGAGTGTTCGAGACTCCAAACATAACTGGGAGGGATCAGGGCAGATATAAGTCCTCCTCCTTAGCTTCCTTTGACCTCTTTCACAGAGAAAGTGGATAGCAAACATACAATTACTATGAGAGAGCCTTAAATTGGCCTAGTTTCCTTTCTCCACCCTGTGTACAGTGGGGAAAGTATAATTACTATCAAGTTGGGGCACTGTGAATGACCCCAAACCTTGTATCCACTCCATGGCTTTTTAAATGGAGGGTAATGTTAATGGTGGTTTAGGCTTGATGGTAAAAGAGGTAGGGCTATTTTCTGTTCCAACACACGTGGTAGAGGAAGAGGGTTCTAATTGCTTATACTCTCTGGTTCATATTGGGTTATGGTGACACACAATTTTTTTAATCCCTCCATCGCACATGTATTAGGTGTAAGTGAGAGGGTCACTAAGTTCTTAGGTCTTATAATTGGATCTCACAGATCCTATACCTATATGAGCAGAAATTATTAATAAAGCATACCTGCTAACAATGTATTCACAGTTTTGTGAACTGGATTGTGTACAGTGACTACCCAAGACTCCGACTGCACATTCATGCAGCTACCACTCAGGCTAAATCCGGGGGAGGAAAACCACAAGCACAGGTTGGATGAAACCGATACAGCAAATGAGAACTTGTCATGCAGCATAATATTTGCATTCATGTAAAGTTGTTATGGTGCCCTTATTTAATGTATGCTAAAATGACTGTTATTAGGCCACAGATAATAAACCACAGTTTAACTCGAAGTCTTCTTTTATGAAGCATATTTGACACCTTCAAAACAAAAGATTGCAGAATAACTTTGGATTTCCACCCTTTCACATTCCACCTATGTGACGGACCGCCTAGCACCCTGACTAGGTGCCTCCGCCAATCACTGCTTCCTAGTGCCTCCAAGCACTCCACCAGACACCATCAGCACTGTAGTCCCCATATCCAGCGTTACAGCTTGGCTGGGGTCTCGCCGTCCTTCACCTACCCTGGACCCAAGACCAGGATCAAGCTTCCAGTGGGCAGACCTCTCCTACTCCAGAAAGTGTGGCAGGCTGCTCTTACAAGAGCAAGTGATTATAACTCAGAGGAGTATAGTGATATAGCAATCCCAAGAGCAGATACAGCTGTTCCCCCTACACATGAGATGAGACTCTATGTTGAAGGTAGGCAGGAACTTATTTATTGGCAGCCACAATTGACCTTATATGCAGGTCTCCATGCAAGGGGCACTCCCCCCTGGACCTGAGAGTAGACTACAGTAAAAACAACCACACAATAACATTGGCTCTTAGGTCCAGGATACTCCCATACACAAATAAGATAATCCCTCCTCTGTGCCTGGGAGATAATTAAATCAGGAACTGTACTAATCCAATCTAATTATCTCCAAGCACAGAAAAACATACTTTTTAACAGTACCCCTTAAAGTACCCTCAAAACCTATGGAAACCCCACACAAGTTACATCCCCTGATAGCCCCGATCTGAGTGACCAACATATCCAAAAACACCCAGATCAGTTCAGAGGTTTAGGAATTTCCTGGAAGTCATACTTTTGACCGACCGCACGCATGTTCCAATGCCCAAAACAGTTCCATGAAATCAGTGCTAACGGTCGGTCAACTTTGGAATACTTTTACAGGTTTCCCTACAGGACCCATAGTCTGTGGGCAGGAGGCTGGCAAGCAAGCGCCTTTATAATCATTGTTCTTCGAACAGCCAGTTTTGGGAGTACACTCACACCACCTGGATCCGCTGGATGCAGAGATATGCTGTTTTTTTAAATTTTATCTTATAAGTGCAATATAAATAAATCTTGTGTGTTTATATCTACCATCTGCACTATCTTTTGTTCTCTGTTCTTATTATAAGCAAAGAACATAATTACATTGGAAATGAAAAAGAGTCTGCCTACATACACTTCTATGCTGATATTACTTTGATGGGCTTACTTATATCCAAGTTCCTGTAAGTGCAATTTATAATTTGCAGGTCTACTGGTACCTGACGACATTACCCTATGTTGATTCTGTTTGCCTTTTTGATATCTGGATATATTTCGCCTATTGTTTCTTAAGGTGGTATTACCTCCTTTATATAGGAGATTTATTCTCCTTTATCTATACCCCACTTATTGGTTGTTTTTGTTTACTTATTGTTTGGTGTGCAGAGGGCACACTGTTTTAAGTGTAGGTATTTACACTGCATTGATAGTGGTTTTATTTATTTCTTTTGTGTTTGCAAAAAAAAAAAAAAACCAGCACAAATAAAATATTTCTCTCAAGTCAGCTATTTTTCCAGCTCAATTATTTTGGCCTTGGGAGGAAGTGACTGCAGCGAGTCACTTCCTCCCAGATAGAGTGAAGCTGTGCAGGATGGAGGAGAAGGCCATCAGGAGGCAGCTGAAGTGCCAGAGCCTCACACTCCCAACTACCTCAGCCTGTTACTGGACCCCGGTGAACCACCCTCCTGAACCCATAAAGTAGGGCTGGTGGGTGGCTTTATAAATGTAAACTTTGCATGTGTGCCAGTATTGTGTGTGTGTGTGTCAGTATTTGTGTGTGTCTTATTATGTCTTTGTGTGTCTTAGTATGTGTGTATGTGTGTGAGTATGTCTGTCAGGGTGTTTGTGTGTGTGTGTGAGCCTGTCAGTGTGGCAGTATGTCTGTCAGGGTGTCTGTGTGTCAGTATATCTGTCTGTGTGTGTCAATATGTCTGTCAGGGTGTCTGTGTCACTATGTCTGTGTGTCAGTATGTCTGTGTGTGTGTCAGTATGTCTGTCAGGGCGTGTGTGTGTGTGTGTCAGTATGTCTGTCAGGGTGTGTGTGTCAGTATGTCTGTGTGTGTGTCAGTATGTCTGTCAGGGCATATGTGTGTGTGTCAGTATGTCTGTGTGTGTGTGTGTGAGTATGTCTGTCAGGGTGTCTGTGTGTGTGTCACTATTTCTGTGTGTGTATTAGTATGTCTGTCAGTGTGTGTCACTATGTGTATCTGCGTGTTTGTATGTGTGTCAGTGTGTGTACCTGTATGTTATCATTGTATGTATTTGTGTATCTGTATGTTGTCAGTGTGTGTACCTGTGTGTGTATATTTGTGTGTGCATCTGTATATAGTCAGTGTTTTTATTTGTGTATCTGCATGTGTGTCAGTATATGCATCAGTGTGTCTGAGTATCCATATGTGTCAGTGTTTGTATATATGTCTCGGTATGTGTGTCGGGTTGTGTATCTGTATGTCTGTATGTGTTAGTGTGTGTATCTGTGTCAGTCTGTATCTGCATGTGTGTTAGTGTGAGTGTCAGTGTTTATATCTGTCTGTGTATCTGCATGTGTTTCTGTGTGTGTGTGTGTGTGTATGTGTATCACAGTGTGTCTGTGTGGCAGTGTATGTGTACATGTGCATACATCTCATCATTCAAATCGCCAACACTACACACAAGTACACCCTTGCATTCAACCTTCAACACTACATACAAACATAATTCTGCATTGAAACGTCAACAGTACATACAAACACACCTTTGTGTTAAACACCAAAAATATACACCCCAGCATTCAAAAAAAAAACTACACATAGATTCATGCTTGCATTCACACACCAACACCACATACAAACACACCCCTACATTTACACAAACATATTCCATACAAAAACATGCTTCCATTCAAACACACAAACACAGCTCAGTGCTAAATACAACTCTGCAAACATGGGAAAATGGTTCGGCTACTGTGTTGGGAAGTGAAGAGAGTGATTGCATGTCAGGGAGTGGAGGTCAGGGGCCCCATCAAAGGCTTGCCCAGGGCCCAATCACTATTAAAGATGGCCTTGGGACCACGGAGCAGAAGGTTGCCTGGTTTGATGAATCATGTTTTATTTTAGATCTGGTGGATGGCCGGATAAATGAACAACATTTACCTGGGAAAGATATGGCTGCAGGATGAACTATGGGAAGAACGTAGGCTGGTGGAGGCAGTGTTATGCTCTTGACAATGTTCTGCTGGGAAACCTTGGTTACGGCATTCATGTGGATGTTGCCGTGACATGTATCACCTACCTACAGATAGTTGCAGACCATGTACACCCCTTCATGGGAATGTTGTTCCATGATGGCAGTGGCCTCTTTCAGCAAAATAATACTACCTGCCACAATTTAAAAATTGTTCAGGAATGGTTTGAGGAACATGACAAAGGTGTTCCATTTGCCTACAAATTCCCCAGATTCAGCATCTGTGGGATGTGTTACAACAACAGATCCAATCCTTGGAAGACTCACCTCACAACTTGCAGGATTTAAACGATCTAATGTCTTGGTTCCAGATACCACAAGACACATTCAGAGGTCTTGTGGAGCCCATGCCAAGACGCCTCAGAACTGTTTTGGCAGCACAAAAGGGATCTACACAATATTAGGTAGGTGGTTTTAATGTTGTGAGTGATCAGTGTGTGTTTCTTACGTTTACTACATGAAGTTGTTTCCTGGGCTCCCTAGTATGCCGAACAAAGGTGGAGGAAAGAAAAATATAACAAAGTCCGTATTGGTGAACATATTAATAATATATAAAAGAAATGTATGAATCATAATGTTTCAAAACATTTTGTGGAAAAGCATGGAGGGCATCAGTGACTGCATGCTGCCTTTCAAATACTGGTGACTGGGCAGCTATTGCTGATGCCTTAGAGACCCCTGGTCCCCAGGACAGGGAGCTACTAGCTGCTTGCTGTGTAGTGGACATGCCCACACTGTGCCATGGCGAGTGAGAGCATATGTAAAACATCTCTTGTACTTATATGAGTGGGCAACCCCATAGGCTTTTATTCCATTGCTTTTTTTTTAATGACTAACAGAGAACCTAGAAGAGTTGTAAAAAAACCTATTAATCTTTATGAGTAGGGGCTCCCAACCCGTGGTATGCGTACACCAGGGGTACAATTAAGTACCCAAGGGGATACGCGGAAAAAAACGTGGTGCAACTGGCCCGCAAAGACTGGGGACTGCAAGGTGAGTGGGTCCATCGAGTGGCCCATGCACTCAGGACCACCCGATGGACATGTACTATGAGGGGCCCGGTCGTGCTCTGTAGCGCTTTAATAGCGCTGGGAGCAAGTGAGAGCAAGACGCACACTTCCTCCCAGTTGTAACCAATCCGCAAAGGGGGGCGGGACAGAGGGGACTGGGAGAGGAGATAGCCCTTAACTCCCCAGAGCCTCAGCCACAGAAGCCACCCAAAAGGTATATATGTGTGTGTTTTGGGTGTCAGTATGTATGTAGTGTTTGTATCTGTGAGTACCTGTGTGTGTGTGTGTGTGTTTCTGTATGTATGTTTATCTGTGTGTGTGTGTGTCTATCTGTATATCTGTGTGTGTGTCAGTATATCTGTATGTCTGTGTATCTGTATGTCTGTGTATCTGTGTGTGTGTGTGTGTGTGTATGTGTGTACCTGTATGTCTGTGTATCTATGTGTGTGTCAGTGTATCTGTTTGTGTATCTGTATGTCTATGTATCTGAATGTGTGTGTTTCTGTGTGTGTGTGTGTGTGTGTGTGTATCTGTATGTATGTGTCACTGTAGTTGTATGTTTGTGTAACTCTGTGTGTGTGTGTGTATCTGTGTGTTTATCTGTATATCGCTGGGTGTGTCAGTGTATCTGTGTATCAGTGTATCTATGTGTGTATCTGTATATCTGTGTGTGTATGTCAGTGTATCTGTATGTCTTTGTGTGTCAGTGTATCTGGGTGTGTATCTGTGTGTGTCAGTGTATTTGTATGTCTCTGTATCTGTATGTCAGTATGTCTGTATGTCTGCTTATCTTTGTGTGTGTGTGTGTATATCTGTGTGTACCTGTATGTCTGTGTATCCGTGTGTGTGTGTCAGTGTATCTGTTTGTGCATCTGTATGTCTATGTATCAGTATGTCTGTGTATCTGTGTGTGTATCTGTATGTATGTGTATCTGTGTGTGGATGTCAGTGTATCTGTATGTCTGTGTGTGGATGTCAGTGTATCTGTATGTCTGTGTGTTAGTGTATCTGGGTGTGTATCTGTATGTCTGTGTATCTGTGTGTGTGTGTCAGTGTATCTGTATGTCTGTATATCTGTATGTGTGTCAGTGTGTGCATCTGTATGTCTGTGTATCTGTGTGTGTGTCAGTGTGGGCATCTGTATGTATGTGTGTGTCAGTGTGTCATCTGTTTGTGTGTGTGCATCTATATTTCACCCCTGTCAAAGTGCCAGGAAAGCCCAGTCTTCACCGATCAGCTCGTCCACCGAAATAAAGTTTAAAAAAATCATAGTAATCTGCAGAGGGAGGCTGGCCGGGTCCTCGGGGTTATAACATTGATCCTACTGAAGTTCTGGCACTCTGAGATTACCAGCTGTGAGTCCTGAAACTTCACTTACAGCGATTTGCTGCATGGCTGTTGCTGTGGGCTAGCCCCCGAGAGTTTCAGAATTCTCCTTTGTGTCTGGCTATGTGTGCTGTAATGGCCAAATAACCAGCACAGGCAGCGGGACTTGCAGGAGTGCAGGAGTCAGACACACACACACTACATCCCCAGCACACACACAGACACAGCACATCTCCAGCATACACACGCACAGACATACTACATTTCTAGCTCACATAAACACACTACATCCCCAGCACACACACACTACATCCCCAGCATACATACACATACACACAGACATGCTACATTCCTAGTGCACACACAGACACACTACATCCCTAGCGCACACACACACATACATGCTACATTCCCAGCATACACACACAGACACACTACATCCCCAACATACACACACACAAACACATGACATCCCCAGCACACCACTACATCCCCAGAATAATGGCATACATCCAACATGACAAATTAACTTACTCCTTTTTGGTTTGTTATTGCTAGTGATTGATGTATTTTGTACTTAGATAATATTTTAATACCACTGCAGGAGCATATATGTTGTGACGTTTAATTTAGTGTGCATTGATCTAAACATGTTACTGGAATGTATTTATCTAATGATGATATATTCAATTTTAGTTTTAATTATCATAATGCAACATAATGAATGTGGGCGTGTTTTGGGTGGCGTATTTTTGGGAAACTCAGGCAGAAAAATTATTGGGCCGGCTCTGGTATCTGTGTTTGTCATTGTATCTGTATGTGTATGAGTGTGTGTATCTAATTGTCTGTATCTGCATGTGTGTCAGTGTATATGTGTGTGTGTCTGTATGTCTGTGTCAGTGTGTGTATCTCTATGTCAGTTTATCTGTGTATGTGTATCTGTATATGTGTGTATTTGTGTGTGTGTCTGTTTATCTGCATGTGTGTCAATATATGTGTCTTTCTATCTGCATGTGTATCGGTGTCTGTATCTGTCTGCGTGTCAGTGATTGTATCTGTGTGTCTATGAATCTGCATGTGTGGCAGTGTGTGTGTGTCTTCATCTGTCTGTATGTGTGGCAGTGTTTGTATGTGTGTCTGTACATATATGTGTCTCTGTGTATATTTGCATGGGTATCTGCGTGTCTGTATGTGTGGCAGTGCTTGTACCTGTGTATCTTTATGTGTGGCAGTGTGGTTATCAGTGTGTCTGCTCAACTTTATTTATATAAGGGTTGCCATTTGTTTATCTGCATGTGTGGCAGTGTTTGTACCTGTGTGTCTGTACATTTGTATATGTGTTAGTGTGTATATATCAGTATGCCCTTGTAACTATATGTATGTCAGTATGTGTATCTGCATGTATGCCAGTATGTGTATCATTGGTTCTGTGCAACTGTATATGTGTCAGTGTTTGCATCTGTATGTCTGTGTATCCACATGTTTGTATCTGTACTGTGGTGAGCCTGGAACAGAGAAAAATGGGAGATGGGACAGAAAAAAGGCATATAAATTTGAAATAGCAGCAACTAAAATAATTACAATAATATGGAAATGGGATGCCAAGAGGTACTCAAGAGAAAAACGTTTGGAAACCACTGTTACAGCATACTCAACAAACCTGTAGTTTGTCCACAGTGATCTCTCCCTGTCTTAAAAAAATAAATTAAAAGGGGCTAAGGGATGATGGGTTTGATTCTATATTTTTTCAAAAAATATTTGTAATTCACAATTATATCTTTATATCTGTATATGTTCTGCTGGCCTTCACTATAGTCACCCATTTGCCAACTTCACAATAACAAAAAAAGCGATATTTATAAACAGGCACAATAGAAATCCCATAGCATTTTTTTCCACTTTCCCTTATACCTACGTACTTAACGCAGTGGTGTTCAGACTAATTCCAGACAAAGCCATTCCCCCAAGGAAACGGAACACGCAATAAGCGATGTAATTTGGGGAGAATGCAGTGCAGATCCCACTGACAGCCATTTGTAAGTAAGACCAGATGAGTAGTGCTCTTCGTCCATACCTAGAGAAATTCCAGAAAATGCTTTTAGATCCCAGTGTCTATCATGACTTGAAAGAACAGCAGGTTTGTTTAAAGTGACCCCGTAGTTTTATGTTTTCTTTACTTAAAATTGGATTCTCAAAACACAACAATTATTTTTACACCACTCTATAGCAAGCCTATCTTGCTGTAATTACTTGAGGATCTGTTTACCAGTGTGACGGCAGCCATCTTGAATAGAAGTTTTGTAGAGAAAATGTGATGCCAACTGCCAATCACAGTTGAGATGATTATTTTTTTATTATTTTGTTTCTTCCACTGACTGTCGATGCTGAACATGCAGCACGCCCACACAAAGTCCTTTTTTTTTATTAGTATAAACTGCTCAACAGATTAACAAATGATCCAAACAAGATATATACACAGTTTTCAAATGTGATGATGCAAGGAAATGTTCTGATGTCAAACCCATTTTATGAAAACAAACGTGTACTGTTAAAATGGAGGATACAATGTAACCTACTCACCTATCCGAAAGACCACCTAGGATGATGGCTCCCACCAACACTCCTGCCATGTATATGGACTGTGCCAACTGACGTTTATTCTTTTGGCTGCACACTAAATCCCACTGCAATGCAAATCACTTTAATGTAACTTAAATAAATAGGTACGATAGTACATATAGACTTTCTGTAGTAGAAGAAAAAACATATTTTATGGCAACAACTGTAGGCAATATTAATTCCTCCCATTGGTAGAACAGAGAGTGTATATCATTAAATACTACCTAACTATGTACCTCTGCGTAATAAACTGACCACTAACACTACTGCATTCTATACAAAGTCCTGTACACATAATTCCAAGTTAGGTTCAGATTGTACTCAAATCATTAATTAGCTTTCAATTAACCATGCTCACTAGATTAAAAGGCACCCGAGGATCAGGGACCTCTCTCAGCAGTCACTGGCTTTTCTGGCTGGCTTTATACACTTCAGAAATGTCTTCGAGCAGGTCTTTCAGTAAAGCAGAATGAGATATATGTTGAAAAGAAAATCTGTTTAAACTTTCTCCTTACGCTCAAATCAGGGGTAGGCAACCTTCGGCACTCCAGATGTTGTAGACTACATCTCCCCTGATGCTTTGCCAGCGTTATGGCTGTAAAGAGCATTATGGGAGATGTAGTCCCTAACATCAGGAATGCGGAAGCTTGCCTACCCCTGATTTAGATACAAGTAATCAGTCACGGTACAGTGATACATTAATAACGGATTTGTTTTGCAGTTTTCTGCTTATTTACTTGTTTTCTTCAATCATTCACCACCTCTACTACCTGGATGATTAGTGGCACTCTAAACCTCGACTCTAACCTTTCTTCTCTTCCAGTAAATGCATCAACATCAGAGGATAAACTAATTAAAACAATTACTGGCTGCTGCTAGCCTGATCTGTCTGTGGCCAAATACTCCACTCCTACAAGTAAACAAAATAAATTTACTGGGGTTAGGATTTAATGACTTCTCTATATTTTAAGTGTGATTTTTTTTTTTCCCTCTAAAATTATGGTAGACAATCCCATTTTGATACATAATTAGTAATAATGAGGGCTGGATAGGAATACCAATTTATGTACTTTAACTTATGGAATAAGTGGCTGTGGAATTGGGACCCCTGTCTACAAGGGTCAGAGAGAGTGTGTTGATTTATATGTTTAGAACAAAGGGGCTTAGCATATCCTGGCATTCCATGTTTTTCATTAATTAATGATGGGACTAATTTCAAATTTCCTCTGAGTGATCATATGGAAGTTCTGTGAACCCATGGCAATGTTCTTATTTATATTTAAGTATTTCTTAGAGAGAAAAAATCCTTAGATTCTTTGGGGTGGGTTTAGTGGGCCTGACTGCAGATACAGACAAAGCCCACCATAATCAGGAAAATAATGTTATCCCCTAAACTGCTGCCCAGCAGAGGTTTATGGAATACATAATTCCCACCAGTGCATAACTACCATGGTCTCAGTGGTCGCAGCTGCTACCGGACCCTTTACTCCAGGGGGCCCAGCAGCACTAATAACCCACGTGACCAATAAGCAGGCATAACTGCCAGTTGATGAAGCCCTGTGTTGGCGAAATGCGTTTTGGCTGTTTTTAATGCTTTTTATGTGTGTACTATTAAAGGAATATTGGCCCCTTAACCTTGTGCTCTAATAGGTGAGTAGGAGTATTACTGCTATGAAGTTCCCCTGTTTTGACTGCCTGATACAGATTACACTATTGGAGTTTTTTTTCTCATTTGCATGTTATACGGAACCCAAATATCCGATTACTTCACGATCTTCACTACACACAGATCCATATCACACTCTAAGTTCCTCAGTCGAGTTGGACTTCTATTTATATGTCTTAAAACCAGGACTATTCTATATCTCATTTTGACATTTTGACATTTGTATGTAAGTATACTACTGGTACTATATTATTTTATTGTTTTTACTGTGGCGCGACCTAACTCTATTTTTATTGTATAACTTACAATTGTATAACTTACAGGGCCAATGTCAGCAAGTCTGACCGGAATTACTGAGAGCAACAAGCACTTTATGTCAGAACGGGTACTGCTCGGCCACGCCGGTACAGGAGGGGAGGGGGAATGCGACACAAGGAGGGGCTGTGGTGGAGTGGGAGAATAAGACAAATGTGGGGTAGAATGGTGAAATAAGACGCATTAAAGGGCTGGGGGGATAATGAGACATATGAAGGGGCTGTGGGGATTGGGAAAATAACACACATGGGGGCCAGAATGGAAAAATAACGCACATGGAGGAGCTGGGGGGTAGAATTGGGGCATAAAATACATGAAGGGGCTAGGAGGCTGGGAGAATAAGACACACGGAGGGGCTGGGGGCATGGGAGAATAAGACACATGAATGAGATGAGGGAGAGAATGAGACACATGGAGGGGCTGGGGGGAATGATACACATAGAAGGACTGGGGGAGAATGACACATGGAGGGCTGGGGGAATGATACACATAGGAAGGACTGGGGGAGAATGAGACACATGAGGGGGGGAATGATACACATAGAAGGACTGGGGAGAATGGACACATGAGGGCTGGGAATGATACACATAGAAGGACTGGGGGGAGAATGAGACACATGGAGGGGCTGGGGGGAATGATACACATAGAAGGACTGGGGGGAGAATGAGACACATGGTGGGGCTGGGGGGAATGAGACACATGTAGGGGTTGGGGGAAGATGAGACACATGGAGGGGTTTGGGGGATAATGAGGAATAGACAGATGAAGGGGCCGGGTGGGAATGACACATGGGGAATGGGGTCAGGGCAATTTTTTGCATCAAAGCCCCGTGGTTTCTAGTTACGCCTATGATTTCCACTTAAAATAATTTCCACTTAAGATGGGCAAAATTGCTCTATCAAGTGAGAGCAGTCATTCTACAGTTAACAATTTAATTAATTTATTTATTCATTCATAAGTTTATTTTTCCATGAGTTGTAACTACTTATTTTTCAAAATGTCTCTGTCACAAACATTTTAGTGGCTAAAGGATGTTTTTATTTATCGGTAAAGTGAAATAATGGTATAATAAATATTTTTGTCTGCCATTTTTTGCATTAAATCTGACCCTGGGTCTCTTCTGCTATAAACTGTTCCATGGTGCGAGGGACATGCTAACGTGTGTCTTATGGGTAATAAAGAATAACTTCCAGGACGCCGAGAACTCTTAAAATCTAACAACATTGTTAAAGCAGTTTATCTGAATGGATGTAAATTGTTTTCAATAAGTCATTTGATATGTATAAGTTACACTTGAAATTGCAGCAATCTAGTTTTCTCTTTGCTAATAACTTAATCTTTAAATATTCTAAGAGCCATTATTTATTCAGAGCTCGGAAACAGAATTAAAGATGATTATAAATTCTTCTTGTCTCGGATTATGTTCTTAGATATATTGCTGAAAGTAGTGGAATTCTACTTTCAATTTCCTTGTTTTAAATTGTAGATTTATTAATGGAATTCTATTGTTTTATGTATACACAAAACATCCGTAATAATTAATCACTCATAATCACACTTTAAAGGGATACTATAAGTGCCAGGAATGCAAAGATATAGTTCCCTCTGCCTCCTCCCTCCTCAAAACCCCACAAGTCAGTGAATATTTACTTACCTTATCCAAGAGCCACGGCGAGCCGGTGCTAATGCGCATGTGCAGCAAATGCCACGCACGCATTAGACTTCCACATAGGAAAGCATTGAACAAATACTTTCCTATGGAGAAATATCTGACACTGAATGTCCTCGTGCAGAGCGTGAAGATGCCCAGCATCAGATACCGGACCAAAGGTCTGTTTGGATGCAGGAAGCGCCTCTAGAGGCCGTCTGGGAGATAGCCACTGGGGGTAGACTTAGTGCCGCAATGTAAACATTATACACTGCTCAGAAAAATAAAGGGAACACTTAAAGGACCACTATACTGCCAGGAAAACATACTCGTTTTCCTGGCACTATAGTGCCCTGAGGGTGCCCCCACCCTCAGGGTCCCCCTCCCGCCCGGCTCTGGAGAGAGGAAAAGGGGTTAAACTTACCTTTTTCCAGCGCTGGGCGGGGAGCTCTCCTCCTTCTCTCCTCCCTCCCATCCTCCTGGCTGAATGCGCACGCCGCAAGAAGCTGCGCCAAGATTCAGCTCGCCGCATAGGAAAGCATTTACACAAAGCTTTACGTGCGTTCTCACTGTGAAAATCACAGTGAGAAGCACGCTTCTAGTGGCTGTCAATGAGACAGCCACTAGAGGATTAGGGGAAGGCTTAACCCATTGATAAACATAGCAGTTTCTCTGAAACTGCTATGTTTATAAAAAAATGGGTTAACCCTAGAAGGACCTGGCACCCAGACCACTTCATTAAGCTGAAGTGGTCTGGGTGCCTAGAGTGGTCCTTTAAACAACACAATGTAACTCCAAGTAAATCACATTTCTGTGAAATCAAACTGTCCACTTAGGAAGCAACAGTGAGTGACAATCAATTTCACATGCTGTTGTGCAAATGGGATAGACAACAGGTGGAAATTATAGGCAATTAGCAAGACACCCCCAATAAAGGAGTAGTTCTGCAGGTGGTGACCACAGACAGCTTCTCAGTTCCTATGCTTCCTGGCCTATTGTTTTGGTCACTTATGAATGCTGGCGGTGCTTTCACTCTAGTGGTTGCATGAGACGGAGTCTACAACCCACACAAGTGGCTCAGGTAGTGCAGCTCATCCAGGATGGCACATCAATGCGAGCTGTGGCAAGAAGGTTTGCTGTGTCTGTCAGCATAGTGTCCAGAGCATGGAGGCGCTACCAGGAGACAGGCCAGTACATCAGTAGACGTGGAAGAGGCCGTAGGAGAGCAAGAACTCAGCAGGACCGCTACCTCCGCCTTTGTGCAAGGAGCAACAGGAGGAGCACTGCCAGAGCCCTGCAAAATGACCTCCAGCAGGCCACAAATGTGCATATGACTGCTCAAACGGTCAGAAACAGACTCCATGAGGGTGGTATAAGGGGCCCGACATCCGCAGGTGGGGGTTGTGCTTACAGCCCAACACCATGCAGGACGTTTGGCATTTGACAGAGAATTCGCCACTGGCGCCCTGTGCTCTTCACAGATGAAAGCAGGTTCACCCTGAGCACATGTGACAGACGTGACAGAGTCTGGAGACGCAGTGGAAAACGTTTTGCTGCCTGCAACATCCTCCAGCATGACCGGTTTTGCAGTGGGTCAGTAATGGTGTGAGATGGCATTTCTTTGGGGGGCCGCACAGCCCTCCATGTGCTCACCAGAGGTAGCCTGACTGCCATGAGGTACCGAGATGAGATCCTCAGACCCCTTGTGAGACCATATGCCCCGGGTTCCTCTTAATGCAAGACAACGCTAGACCTCATGTGGCTGGAGTGTGTCAGTAGTTCCTGCAAGACAAAGGCATTGATGCTATGGGCTGGCCCGCCCGTTCCCCAGACCTGAATCCAATTGAGCACATCTAGGACATCATGTCTCGCTCCATGCACCAACGTCACGTAGCACCACAGACTGTCCAGGATTTGCATGGGCGTTGTAGAGAGGTCATACAGGCACGTGGAGGCCACACACACTACTGAGCCTCATTTTGACTTGTTTTAAGGACATTACATCAAAGTTGGACCAGCCTGTAGTGTGTTTTTCCACTTTAATTTTGAGTGTGACTCCAAATCCAGACCTCCATGGGTTGAAAAATTTGATTTCCATTTTTTAATTTTTGTGTGATTTTGTTGTCAGCACAGTCAACTATGTAAAGAACAAAGTATTTCAGAATAATATTTAATTCATTCAGATCTAGGATGTGTTATTTAAATTTTAGTGTTCCCTTTATTTTTTTGAGCAGTGTATTTTCTCTTTAACATTGCAGCACTAAGGGCTATAGGGACACTGTACCCAGACCATTTCAATGAGCTGAAGTGGTCTGGGTGCCTTTAGTGTCCCTTTAAATTCAAATTGATGGGAATGTTGCAGGATCCACATTCTATTTTCAGAATACAGTAGTGCCTACCAATGGTGAATTTTTCTTTGAGGCCATTTCTAGGATGTGAAGGCAGGATGCCTTTAAATGGTTATTTACTAAACACCAGATTTTGTCAGAATCGACAAAATAGTAATATGTACAAAGCACCAAATTTAAAAAAATCGAGACTAGATGTATCCAGCAGGATGCACATTCGCAGATTATCATAGAAGAGCCTATATGGGGTCCAAATCACTCTCATAATAATACAAGGAAGGCTTTTAAATCTCCCTTATGCCCCCATCTGCCATGCCTCAGTAGGGAGCATTTATACTAAATAAGTGACGGCTTGCTGTAATATTAACTAGTGACTGGGCAGCAATGACCATGGTCAGTGGGTGGGTCATTTTTTAATAGCCTGAGGGAGCTAATGTTTCTCCCAAGGCCCCATTCATGGGTGGTAGGTGGGGGCTATTAACTTAATAGGCTGGGGGACATAATGTCCCACCCAACACCCACCCATGCATTTACAGTGGGCAGGACTACTAATAAACTAAAGAAGGGGATGAAATACCATTTTTAACCCCTCCAAAACGTTAGCAATTGTCCTCCTCCCAAACCCCTTGGGTGGCTAGAGGTCCCCAAGCACCTAGCTCCTCCCTCCCTCACTCAAAAAAAACATCTGCATACTTCCCTCACCCAATAAATCTAAAACCCTGCAAAATAATTATATTTACCAGATGTATTCTTTCTTCCTAAATCCTCTTTACTTCAGGCCCACAAGAAACTACCCTCCCCCTTCAAATTAATTATAAATTTAAAAAAAGACCGGATTCACACAAAAAAATGAAAAATAGCTGGGGGGCACATTAGGTTTTTCCATTTCTTATTGAATAAATAGCCCCTACCAACTGCCACAGGGTGCGGACTGTCGGCAAAGCAGAACCTCCTCATTTATTTTTATAAGTAGCCTGCATGTGCTGAACACAGGTGGGAGTGATTGCGGCACTAGAATGTCCCCTCACATTTTTTTTAAAATGTATTAGTTTCACCCACTGGCCTGTCATGTAATATAAATCCCCCAACCAATTCCCACTGTTCCAGGTCCCCCTTATTTATTTACTAGCAACTGGGCTGCCATGGCATCTATGAGAAGCATTGGATTGGACTTGTCGAGAAGGCCAGAAGATGTTGTTGGAGGCACAGCATCTGGCATTGCTCAGGGAGCCTTGGCACTGTAGTAAAGGTAAGAAACTTTTTTTTCATGTTTTTACTCCAAATGGTGGGGGAGTGGTCAGGGACCTAAAATAAACCTGCTTATGGGGCACTATAGCGTTAGGAATACAGGTATGTATTCCTTACACCACAGTGTTCCTTTAAACCTGCATTTTTTTGTGTTGGGTTACATCACTTTACCTCGGACTACGTCTCCCAGGAGCCTCTGTTCTCTACACTAAATATTTAGGTATATAGTGTGTATACATGTTTTAATGACAAGAAATGGACCTTCTTTTCCCAAGGATGGTATCAAAAGGAGCCAGAGGTCAAGAAAGAAGAAGTAACTCATAACTTTTTACTTTTGAGCTGTTTTATATGATAGCTCCTCTTTAAGAAAATAACATGTGGGACATAATATTTCTTGGAGACAGGGCCACTTTGGTTTAGAATAATAAAGTACCCCTATAAAAGCATTCTATGAATGCCACTATGCCATTTAAAGGTAATAACATGTTTACTATGATAGTGCCTCGCAGATTGAAATAAAGATCATATCTTGTAGGTTTCCAAATGTACAACTGGATTGTTCTATTTTATTCTGTTATCTTGCGATAGGAGAGGTCAACTCAACACAACACGTACTCCACATTTTCTTTAATTATTTCATAGTTCCACTTACCTCTGTGATAATAGTTGAACTGAACTCTTTCTTGTCGTATTCCCATCCATTTTTGCATGATCTTGTGTCCACATTGGTGGCATTGTCCCAAGAGTTGTTTGCAGACACCATCCTCCACTGAATGTTAACAAACTCCAAACATCTGTCAATGCTGCCATCAGAATCCATCGGAGAGAATACCATCTTCCACCCTTCCCTATCAATTGTGCTGGTGTTAAAGGCTGCACTCTCATTTACTTTACATTTGTGGTCAGGGATTGCAGCACTGAAGTTCTGAAGAAGGTTATGACTAGCCATCAGAAATATTGGAATACAGAGCAGGACAAGTTGTATTATTTGAAAACGTCCTAGCCCTCCAACTCTGTCTAAGAGTTCAGCAAAACCCATTCTAGATGTTTTGAAACTTGGATAGATATATTCTTCTTCTCCTCCTCAAAATTAGAGGTTGTGTACCCAGATTGTTATGTTAAAATGGATTACACTATTTTTCTCTTTGATAACTCTATCAACATTGTCAACAACATTACTTATGCAGTGTTCTCAGTAAATTCTTCTTGCCCGGATTAAGTTCTTGCGTGATATTACTGTAGAAACTCTGCATTCTTTTTCATTGTTTTAAATATATGCGAGTGAGAGTGTAAATCCTCAGAAAGCAAAGAAAAAGGATTTTGATCTCGATATATATCAGGTTGAATCTGAATTTGGATACAAAACTAGAACAAAACTGTCTTGCTGTAAGGCCTTAATGTATTCCTGAAGTCCACTATGATGCCTTCATATAACATTTTCCTTTTTCTAATTTTCTGTATAATGATAATAAAATAAACTTTAGTCATATTTAAAGTTTCAACTTTCCATTAATAAAACTCAAGAAGACAAGAAGACCAATAACTCTACGTGAATCTATTCAATAGACTGAATATATAAATTATTGTAAGCTCATTGGGTCAGAGAGCCATGAAACGTAGGATATCTGGATACTTGCAAGCCTTCTTTTTTTTCCAATTACAGTCACTAAGGACAGATTAAAAGCCTGTAGAAAGCAGTCAATGAGTGTTTATTATATTCTTAGTTCTGCACTGCAGTAAATCATTCAGCTCTACTTAGCATTTCATTGCATCTTTTTAAAATTAGAATCAGTTAGTGAAGCATGCTTTTCATAATATGATTTAATATTTCAAAAACTTTACTTGCAAGTTCCAGGAATCAGGTCAGGTTCCAACTCAAAGTTCCATCCAGGATTCTGGAATTCCTCAAATAATTATTGAAGAGAACACCAAAGGCTCTAGAAGATGCACAATCCACTCTAGGAGTCTTTATTTGTCTTTAGGATTATATTTGTGAAGGTCCTGTGTCCCAGGTTAAAGTGTCCTGGGTGGGTTACTCCAGGGTTGTCAACTCACTAAGTGGAAAACTTTGCTACTGGTATTTTTCCTGTATCTTGGGACTCAGAAGGGATTATATAAGGAGTGAAAGTTTGACAGAGTTAACGAGTCACTGCCATCAGTGGGGGATTAATGAGGGGAAGGAGAAAATGTGGGGAATGTACTTAGAACTGAGCAAAGTCCAAAATGTGCATATGGCGACAGCTTTATGTAGCATAACGTTTTTTGAATATAGTAGAAACTGTACATGTGCAGCATTATATGCTTTACATATCCAATTTCATATTAAAGACTCAGCATTTGCTAAAGCCACATACTAATAATGGCTATCATGGTTAAAATCAAAGGGCACACACAGAGGTGGGCTGGCCTGCTAGGAAACAGAAATTCCACAGTGGGGCCACCAAAGCTGGGGCTGGTTGCTGCTCACTAGGTTATTGTTATTGGTGGCTTAAAGGGTTCTTTTTGTAATAAATATTGTGGAGAGGTGTGAGGAGCAGTACCAGCCAGCCACTCCTCCTATGCACAGGGCTCAAGGCCGTTGGGATACTGCATGACATCAGTGGGAGAGAGTGGGGATATGATGCTCACGGCATGCCGATTGCTGCTTTCTCAGACTGGGTAGAGGATAATGAAACTCTTCTACAGCAGTCCAAAAGGCCACACTATATAGAAGTAAGAGAAGGGGAAGTTGGAGACACAACAGACAGGATAAGAGCCAAACTGGGGGGAAATAGGAGACACAATGTCATGACTCCAGCATCCTTTCGTCGAAGACGTGCATGTATTGACGCCGTTCGGCAGTCTTCTGTAATATTTGACGCAAAAATGTTTACCCTTTGTTTAGTTTTTACTTATTCACATTAAGCTCGACCACCCTAAGAACCAGTAATATGTATTATTTATTTAATATCTTGTGTATTAGGTTTGCATTTTGTGGTATACCTGCTTTGACACACAGTAGAGTTGGCTTTAAACATGAGGTAGGCATAAGAGACACAATTAAGGAGTTAGGTTTATAAGGCATGTAGAAGAATTTTATTTTTTTATTTTTAAAAAGTTTGCACAGTATAAAAACATGTATGCCACTCACACTTTTCTATATTTATGTTTTACGGTTAATTCTAACCAAAAGATGAATACAAAATAAAGAGACTCTACATTTTTAGGCCATGAATGATTAGTAATGGCTTAATAATTAGCAGTGTGCTATGGATTGGTAGGAATGAAAACTATGGATGACACTGCAGGAAGATATATCGGGCAAAAGCATACTAACAGTGACATTGCAATAAAACAGCTTTTCAAGCAAATTCAACACACTGCCCTTTTGAAATCATGGGTATGTTTTTAAATGGTCTTAAAAGTGCAGCCAAAAGGTATAATGCATAACAAAGTCTCCAATGGGAAACCTACTACAGAACCACCAATCACAGTACAAAACTTCTAGAATGCCAAGCTATCATGATAGTTGGCATAGCCCATAAATATACAACATTCTAGTATTAAAGGCATTTTGCCTCAGGCGACTGGCAAAGATAGTTATTTTATTCTATATGTACTTTTTGTTGTTTGTTTATTATTTAAATTTGTTACATTTGTACAATTCTTCAATTAAAAATATTGGACTAGAGGTCACTTTTTTTTAGAGAGAAGCGACACATTTTTTTTATAAATTAAAAAAATTACTAGATAAATGATCAAAGAGTAAGTGGAATAAAAACATAAAGGGCTAGTTTAAGTATAGAACATCATGAGACCACTCTCATACCGAGATTTGAAAAATATTGCCAATGGTCACTCAAGCTATAGTCAGTCAAGTAGCATGGAACTCTTAGCTCCAAGTTGCTTATATCAATTTTGTCCTTATCTGTGCGTAATATGCATAAAATGAAAAGCTCTGTCTCTTTCCCAAAGAGAACTGAGCTGTGCATAAACTGATATCAGCTAATATCATTCAATCATGGTCTTCTTTAATATTGTTTGGACTCTTGGCAAGCATTTGCTTAGGCCCCAAGAACCCCCACTCCCTGGCATGCAATCATGCCCTCTACACCAACCTCTTCCTTTCCCCCTAACAAAAAAACAAAACAAAAAACACATTCAGATACACATATTGACACTCATACAGATACAAACACTGATACACACCGATACACAGGGGCACACAATGACACATACGCAGATACACAGATACACATGCATACACACCTATAGATACACACAGACACAAATGCAGATACAAAGACACACATACAAACACATGCAGATACACAGACACACATAAGACATACAGACACACATACATACAGACATACATGCAGACACACAATTAGCTAAACAGAGATTAAGATAGACATACATACACACAGATACACATACAGATACATAGATAAACATATAGACACACAAATACACATAGAGTCACACAGATGTACACATACAGACAAACAGATACACAGACAGATACACTGACATACATGGAGACCCAAAGATGCACATGTAGACACACAGATGCACATACAGACACACATATTCACATACAGACACACAGATACACATACAGACACACAGATATACATACAGGCACACATGCAGACATACAGACACACATGCAGACTGTAGCGGTACTTACCCAGTTCTCGTGCCGGCCGGGATCCTCTGCTCCTGGGTCCTGGCGGGCCACGCGCGCCAAAAGGTATGATCGGGCGCACAGCCCATACAGTATTAAGAACGCTGCTCACACTGCAAGCACGTTCTTAAAGGGGAAATGGGAGCCTAACCTTGCAGTTGGCTTCCATTGGCCCACGTCATTCTGGCAGCCCAATTCATGCACATTTTGGGACGCAGGCATGACGTGGACCAATCAAATGAAACACAGGATTATTTAAACTTACCTGGCCCTAGATACTGTGCCATATTGTAGTTTCTGTTCCCAGTTCCCTTTAGTGTGTCCCTTGTATATTTTGTATTGTATTGTTTTTATATTTTGGTATTGAATTTGGTTTTGTTTCCTGACTCTGAGTTTCTCTTTAAAGGGACACTATAGTCACCAGAACAACTACAGCTTAATGTAGTTGTTCTGGCGAGTATAATAACTCCCTTCAGGCATTTTCATGTAAACACTGCCTTTTCATAGAAAAGGCAGTGTTTACATTGCCCCTAGGGACACCTCCAAGTGCACACTCCTCAGATGGCCACTGGAGGGGCTTCCTGGCTCAGGGCTGCACAGTAGGCAGCCCTGCTGTTCAGCGTCCCCACAGTCCGCCATGGACAGGAACTTTGGGACGAGTAACAGCTTTTTTATTATCGTTTCTAGTCAGGTCACACACATATTCACATATATTTCCGTATGTGCTGCTATATATTTTTTAATTTTCACATTTTTTTGGTGGTTCGCTATATTAGCAATTCTGCCCTGTGTGTGTGGTATGCACATATAGTGTATTTTATGTTTGGAATTGAGCCACACTGTTTCTACCAGGATTGTTTGTTACAGTTTTGATACATCTTATCTTTATTTTTAGGCATAATATTTGATATATTGTGTTTTATGTATAGTGTATCTGACTTCAGATAGAATTGTGATTCAAGATCCTGTGATTACACATACAGACATACAGACGCATGCAGACACACATATTCACATACAGGCATACAGATACACATACAGGCACACAGATCCACAGACAGGCAGATACACAGATACACATACAGACACACAGATTCACATCCAGACACACAGATACACATACAGGCACACAGATAGATACACAGACACACAGATTCACATACAGACACACAGATACACAGACACAAATACAATCACGGGCAGATACAGAAACAAATGCAAACACACAGACACACATACAGGGAGTGCAGAATTATTAGGCAAATGAGTATTTTGACCGCATCATCCTCTTTATGCATGTTGTCTTACTCCAAGCTGTATAGGCTCGAAAGCCTACTACCAATTAAGCATATTAGGTGATGTGCATCTCTGAGAAGGGGTGTGGTCTAATGATATCAACACCCTATATCAGGTGTGCATAATTATTAGGCAACTTCCTTTCCTTTGGCAAAATGGGTCAAAAGAAGGACTTGACAGGCTCAGAAAAGTAAAAAATAGTGAGATATCTTGCAGAGGGATGCAGCACTCTTAAAATTGCAAAGTTTCTGAAGCGTGATCATCGAACAATCAAGCGTTTCATTCAAAATAGTCAACAGGGTCGCAAGAAGCGTGTGGAAAAACCAAGGCGCAAAATAACTGCCCATGAACTGAGAAAAGTCAAGCGTGCAGCTGCCACGATGCCACTTGCCACCAGTTTGGCCATATTTCAGAGCTGCAACATCACTGGAGTGCCCAAAAGCACAAGGTGTGCAATACTCAGAGACATGGCCAAGGTAAGAAAGGCTGAAAGACGACCACCACTGAACAAGACACACAAGCTGAAACGTCAAGACTGGGCCAAGAAATATCTCAAGACTGATTTTTCTAAGGTTTTATGGACTGATGAAATGAGAGTGAGTCTTGATGGGCCAGATGGATGGGCCCGTGGCTGGATTGGTAAAGGGCAGAGAGCTCCAGTCCGACTCAGATGCCAGCAAGGTGGAGGTGGAGTACTGGTTTGGGCTGGTATCATCAAAGATGAGCTTGTGGGGCCTTTTCGGGTTGAGGATGGAGTCAAGCTCAACTCCCAGTCCTACTGCCAGTTCCTGGAAGACACCTTCTTCAAGCAGTGGTACAGGAAGAAGTCTGCATACTTCAAGAAAAACATGATATTCATGCAGGACAATGCTCCATCACACGCAGGGCCGGATTAACATAGGGGCTGATGGAGCTGCAGCTCCAGGCCCAGGCCCATGGAATAGGCCCATTTAAAATTTTTTTTTTTTTTTTTTACACACTACTCTTAGGTTTGCCACCTGACAGGTATTTTACTGGCACAGCCGGTATTTAAATCTGCCTGGCCATGCCAGTATTGCAGTAATACCCGCAATACAAATGCAGGTATTTTTCACAGATTAAATGGAGATTACTCTGCAATACCAGCACCGGCCAGTAGGGGTCACTGTGTGTGGAGAGAGGCAGA